AAAAAAGAAACCTTCGGTGTTGATTAAAATATAATGATTTTCATATATGGCTAAAAAAATAAAAGACCTGTTAGCACATACATAGTGTGTAGCTAAAATCGTATCCAATTTATTTTTGGACATAACTAAGAGTGATCAGAGGTTCAGACAATTGAGACAAGAAGAATGAGTATACCTTCACTAAAGAAAAAGAAATGTAAAATATTGAAAACTCAGTTTGATGACCAGATTAATCTGTCCACTTTTATTTATAAGTTCGTTTCTTGATATTGCACATATGTTTATTTTAAAATTGATAATGATGTATACAAGTTTAACACGTTAAAACAAATTATTTACACTTAACGGATTTCATAAAATCCCGTCCTTAGCTAAGGGCATTAAGAAACGATCTCCGGTATTTTCCTTGACATTATCATACAACAATAGCTACAGCTTAGAAAGGTCAAATTGTATACTAGATTGAACATTTACACGTCAAAGAATGAACAGGTGTCTTTGAAAAATTGCTGCTCAATCAGCGAGTTCAGCTTTAGTTTGGAATAAAGTTAAGATTGTTTCTTTGATAACAGTCGACAAAAACTAGAATACGAATGAAGAAACTTATTCTGTACTATCCTGAAGATCACCAGGCAGTATAAAATCCCCCAAGATGATGTTATTAGAAGTGCTGGCAAATTCCTATTATGGCGAATTTAATGAATGTATGGGGCTTGAATTCCCTTTACAATTGGACGGCATACAAACATCTCGGGTTTCTTCTTTGTCTCTATAGTTACTCTAAAGTTGTAGTTACGGGAAGTTACATCATCCCATACTAGCCTAGACGGGTTTTGTGGCCAACATTTTTATGGCGAACACGTTCTCGTGATGCGACAAGCGTGATGTTCTTTCTATCTCGTTACGATCAGAGTTTTAAAGTTTGGCTTGCAAGGAATAGGCATTGTCCCTGTTATTTGTGAGATAAAGGATGCGGGCGGGTGTCACGGTGGGATGGGGAGGGGGCAAGGGGCGAGTGCAGCCTCCTCGGGCAAGCGGTACAATGACCCGCGCCTGCGCAGCCTCCGGCAACTTGCTCCGCTGCAAATGTTCGCCACACTCATTGACACTACGCTAGTGATATTAACCTTAATTAACTTGTCCTATGCATAAAAAGCAAATTGTTAGCTTACCCCACATATTGAGTACTTGTGTCTAGTTTTCTCCGTTATCTTGTGGCTTATTAGCGTCCCCTGACGTAGATGCGTCTAGACATTATATTCGCACTTTGTCCATGACCAGAGTCGACAGTGTGGAGATTACTGGTGGAGACCAGTTGTTAAAAAAATAGTGATTGAAACATATAGAAACTCACCATTCTTTAGCATCTTATAAAAACATATTTTCTTCTCAATTTGAATGTGAATTAAAAAAAACATCAACAAAAACTATAATATTTTAAGCATAGGTACAACTACCTACTTCGGTGGATTGTATAAACAAAAGCATTCTTCAAATCATTAAAATTATTCAAGTTAATCAACACCTGTCATTATAATCTTAAGTGGATCAATTACTTTGTCTGTGTGTCCTATGTACAATGTCGCCACCACAGAACAGTTTACCCTGTTCTGTGGTCACCACAAAGTAACCTTATCAGGTGCATAAGCAACTAAGCATACATTTGTTATTGTATCGTTTAGAGACGAAACAGAGATGAACCGCTTTTTGAAAAGTAGAGAAAGTGGTAGAAAAAATTCGGACACAGTTAGCATGCGAATAGTATTAAGGCGAAAGTCATTATTAAATACCTTTTTGTGTAGATATCGAATTAACAAAATGCATTGAACTAATAGAAATATCCAAATATGTATTTAGATAATTATGGGTTACAAACAGCAGAAAAAATTGGATGTTACACACATTCGTAATTTAGGTAATTAAGTTTTGTATGGTAGCAAAAATATACCGTCTCCGGCTCAGCCTCCGACAACGCGAACTATTCAACAATATGACAGAATCGTGCAAGTGAAAGTTTAATAGAGTTGCATAAAGGTACACTTGCCACAAAATGCTCAATCGACGTAACCTTCTATACGGAACTTCTTGAACTGACCTAATAAAGAATAATTACTAATCGATGTCATTCAACTGAAAAACGATTATCATCCCACTCTCAAATAAATTGATAGCAATGACTACGCATGTATCTACATATAATTTAGTTCCTTAAATTGATTACTTAACTGCTTTATATGCTATAACAATTTACTTATTTTTTTTAACTAACGTATGTTATATGTAGTGAACATTGCAATTAAACTAACGAAGTATTTACAACCCTAAATGAAGGGTCACATTACGCAATATTTAAACAATGGCATTCGTGAGTTCGTATGGCGTTTGTTTAATTTCGTAGATAGCATTGTTGTAACAGTAAAATAGAGTAAGTGTTGTGTGTGCGCAATATTGGCTAGGTGGCTCATGGTGCGGGTGGCAGTGACGCAGGTGGCAGGGGCGCTCAACCGTGAATCCCCGCCGCCCCGGTCGACAACTGTTCCCCGTTTTTTCAAACAGCTCGAGATCAATGTCCGAACACGTAAGCATTATAAGATCATGGATAATCTGCATTTATTACTCGTTTATCCTTGAGAACAAACAAGTTGAACGTAGCCGCCGCAAAAATATAAAATACTAGATAGCTACTATCTTAACAAATCAATAGATAACAAAACTAACGCACAGCGGACAGTTACTCAGACAATTTCTATGGATAGAACATTAATAAAAACGGATCAATATTGCTAGGAAACACAAGCAAACTTTTGGGAGTCGATGCATGCTCACGACCGAGGGGATTCTTAATTTCCGGCTAAACCGGGAAGCCTCACTATACAGCTTACACGCGACTGTATTATATTACACTGTGGCTGCAATAAAAGCACATCCATAGATTAGTGGTGTTAGTTCTAATACTGAATAATGTTTTCGTCTGCGAAGGCAATATTTAAAATTGCATATTTTCGAACAAAGAAAAGGATGTGCCACTTAACAGAATTAGCAATGGTGTTGGAGTGTAGCACAGCTCGCTTACAAGACTAGGAATGCCGTAAAACAACGCCCGCCGGACAAACCGGCCGTGGCGACTCTTCGCCAATTAACCGCCTCCGACCTCTGGGCCGCATGCCTGACCGATTATTCCGGCCGATACTCCTCATAGATACGTACAAGGGGCTACCGATCAATCCAGGAGCAGTCGATTGACCGGTTCGCTTCCTAAACAATGTTGAAATATTTCCAGCCCAATAATGAGCCCGAAGCGTTGTAACTTACAGCTACGTAACCATGTAGGAAAGATCACAGATGCCACTATAGAGCGCAGACCGCAATGCAATCTTGCACAATTCGATTCATCTTGATGCCACCTCAATCGCGGGTTCATCGTTATCTTTAAATGGAAATATCTGTGGACTGCAATCATAGCAATCATTGCTTCGAAAATATTAAGGAGAATTAAAAGATTTGAATACCTATGCTTACTTACGTAATTGAATATTACTCAATTACGTAGTAGTATCTATTATGAATAACTATTTAACCAAAAAAATTAAAAATAAGTCGCTTTATAATAGATCATTAGACTATTTTCTCCAATCAAAAACAGTTAGCAAACCTTTTCTAGTTTAAATATTTCCACTTAAGGTTTACTGTGTTCAAAGTTATACAATAACTAGAATAGAAAATAGTACGTAGATGCAATTACACATCTAGTTTTTGTAGGCAGCTATCTAATATCGGAGTGAGTGAGCGATGCAAACAAAGAAGAAAGCTGGAAATCCAATACGAACAGAGAAGGTCGAAAGAAATCGTTGGAAAAAGTTGGAGACTCCATGAATGGATGGAAAGTGAGCTGACGGACTAGGCGACGCTGCGCCGAGGTTTCAGTTCACACGGTCCCATACGAGATGCTCGGTTTATTTTCTAAATGAATATTTATAATTAACAGACGATTGCTTACAATCTATTTGTGATAATGGACCATTCTTCTATTCATCAAATCATAAAAGTTGTTTATGTTTGCCTTTGTTAATATTTAGCTTTCGATGATATAAGCAGGGGTTTATTCAGCCTCTATTATCAAAGGCTAAATCTTTTGTAATTTCCAGGAATGCAGGCTGTAGCTTAGGCCCGGTGCAATACCGACTCAAACAAGTTTCTTACATTTCAAACCAGGCGCACTGTAGCAGATAAAGTGAGCACTGAAATTACAAATAACTTTACTGAGTCACCGCACCTACTTACCTATCGATAAGCACTTTTATCATAACTCTATTGTGTTATTTTAAGTGAACAAGTTAATTCACTAATTGACTTATCACAATCGAAATCAAAGCTCTGTACGATTGTAGATTCCTTGATATTAAATACATCAAAGTATAATACACACTTTTACATTCAATGTCCGTTCGTTTGTGCAGTAAACAAACAAAAAGATGTATCAATTTAGTAACGGTGGGTTTATTAGCCTGTCTACTAAGTAGCAGAGGATACGAAGCCAGGATATTAAACTAGTTCTCAATAAAAATTATGTTGATAAACTCGTTGCACCTGGCCAACTTAACTGTTTCTATTTTTATTATATCTTACAAACTGTATTTTTTCTCTAATCTTGTGTACATTTTCAATTCTAGGTAAATACAGTTCTTTGCTAAAACGGTAGTTTTAAATTCTTTATCTCGACACTTGTTGATCAAATGTGATATGATACATGGGATAACCAAGGGCACATATTGGATAACATTAATGTTACATGTCAAACGTTTAGATTATGCAGATCTTTGATAGTTTAATCTTTCCAATGTCAATTTATCTCCTCGAAGCAGACAATATTTTTTTCTGCTAAATTAAAATGCTATAGGTACTCTCAAAATAAAGATAAAACAGAAAGTTTATACCCTCAACTAACATAACGGTCATATTTACTTAACTATTTGTATTAAATCAACTGATTGGCGACTCACCTGTGTGCGGAACGAAGTTTAAATTATCAGTGTTTCACCTCGGATAAAATTAAAACAACGAAACATTATCGCATCGCTCAGTTTCATTTCACTTGAATGTACAGAATTGAATGGTTTTAGTTTTACTTCACTGATTCACTGTTTAGAAAATATTACACACGAAACTTGTTGAGATGATTTTACGGTTTAAAATGTTCACGGTTGGTTTGTGGCGGCGGTGCACGATGTTTGTGGCTGGCGAGGCAGCCGCGGTGGCGACGAGTTCTACACTGCTCGGCAAACTGAGGGAGGGCGCGACCGGAGCGTCGGCGTGCGCTCACGACGGCTCACCGACTCGATTGTCAGCAAAAATAAAAGCAGTTAAAGAAAGTTCGACGTCACCACGATAAAAGCCTTCACAGCTCGAATCGAAGCTAATAACTCTTGTTGCGCGTGTACCACCGCCTAACTGCGTGTCCCCAATGTATACTCACTCGGAATTTGATGTTGCCACTGAGATGTCATTTGAAATGATTGTTTTGTAATGCCTTACGTATAATTATTATTATATTATAATTTTATAATTTGATCTTATTTTTATAATTTGATAATAGCTATGATTGTGGAATAAAATTTTACAGTTATTTATCTGTTTCACGATTCGTAACGTCTTTTTTGTGTTAAATTCATTTGTTAATTTACCATATGGATAAACAAAAACATACGAATAAAGCAGTCCTAATTCATAGTGGAATATCGTCTAGTAAACTTGTAGCAGCAAAAAAAAGTCCAGTCCAACTACAAAAAAGTATATATAGGTATACTAATCGAAATTGGTTATTTTTTTTAATTATACTATTTTACTACACCTTTATTATTTTCAAATTGTTTTAAAAAAGATTACCATAAGATACTCTTGTACTCTGGCTGGTTTCTAGGACTAGGTTAACAAAAACGGTTAAAGCAAGTTTCGATATTAATTTAAATTCTATAGGTACCTACAGCTCAATAAGGTCATTGTAGAATCGGCATATCATTATTATTCAATGCAAGTGTAGAGAAAGTAGAAATGTGTTTATACTCGTAAATACTTATACAGTTTGCAATACATTGTTTGTTTGTTTTTCAAATTCATTGCACAAATGCCTATTCTCTGAATGTTTAAAAACTATTTAGATTTATTTGCCTTTTTAATATTAACTTTTTATTTAAAGATTTACGGTTTTTTTTAATTCCCATTTAAATAACTAGCGTTTGGCCAATGATGTCACCTTGCGGAACACCATTTATAGTATATCTAGTTTGTACGCGTTATGAAATTTCTGAAAGTTTTATCGTAAGGGGGTTAATACAGGGGCTAAAAAGAAAAGAAAACAGCAAATAACCACATTGGAACATATTTTATTAATAGCACAACAACACTAAAACTAAAATCCATTTGCATTTATCACATCATTACCTTTTCTATGTCCATCTCCAGCTCATATCTGTTATTATTAGATAGTTATATCGTGTTATTTTATATAATGTTATGAAAGATATGATGCCATCCTTCTAAAATATCACCCAAAAATACAGCCTTCTATAACACTCTAGACCATTCCATATTTCTTTGGCTTCAATTAAAGCTAATATTTACAATAAACATCTATATAACATCGATTTGATCAATAATTCTCTAAAATACATCAAGTTCAACAACAATATGCTAATCAATTTAGGCGTTTAATTGTCACGTAGAAACATACGTATTTTGGAAATACACAATATCCATATTGCCCTGTATCGGTGAGTTTGCATCTGTATCGTTCGTCACCGTGCTTTCCGCCGTAACACACACATTAGCTACATAGCTACCTCACAGCGAAGGCCGCGCCGGTGAGCCGGTCCGGCGCCGACGCCTGCGCGCTCCGCCCCTACACAATTACCTCATCCTACGAACAACCCTATGTATGTTTGGACAACTAAACGGGTAGGTACCTATTCAAAAACAAATAGGTGAACTACATATACAATAATCATACAAATCTTCAGGTAGGTTCATTTATAAATTCAGTACCTACAGGATAAAATATGATAGTTATCAAAATAAAGTTATCTAAAAAATTATAACAACTTAATTAAAATACAATTTTATATTTCTTAGATTCTATAAAACTACAATTTTCAATAAAGTATCTAAACGACAAATCTAATCTACCAACTTGATATCTACAGTTTAAGTTAAGGTACCTACGTACGCAATCGTTCTTTATAATTGAATTTAAATACTCATCAACAGTGCAAAGAACCCTTAATACTTTGAAAGCATCTACTAATGAACCATTATTCATCCTTGACTAATAAATTATTAAATATTATTCCAATATGTCCAATAAATATTTAACATACAGAGAAGTCGATACAATCAACAAATTAAGTATGTAACTACATTCAAGTTTACAGGTTAAGGATAAAAATTGTAGTGAACGTTTTCCTAACCCTTCTAATTACTAATTACTTAACAAAATAATCTATCTACTTACATGGAATAGGTTTTTATTTAGTTTGTTAGGTTAGGTGCAAAATAACGTCTTTGTGCAAAATGGTGGCAAATACAACATTTAGGAAGATATTACACACATATATTTTCTATAAAAGATAAAAAGATTGCACTTTATCCGACGTTATAAGAAGAAAGAGATATGTGAACTTTGAATAAACCAACCTTTTACACAAACTTAAACCCTTAACACGTTCTAAGTCACAAAAGTAAACGGTTTATAAGAAATACTATTTTCTATGGCAGTTTATACAATTTGTATTACATTTATTTTATTATGCAGTATTATAGTTTATTTGTTCATAATAATATAACTGACTTACACATTTGGCTAGGCAATACATAATGAGTTAACATCTAACCTAGTAGTACAAACAAAACAAATAATTAATATAAATTGATATATACTTCAAATATAGAAAATACAACGGGCGAACTGTTCAATCAATAATATATAACAAAATATACTTTCTAATTTTATTTAACACATGTTTTACATTATTCCAAAGATTTATTTCCTCGATTTTATCTTTGGGAAGAATTTTATTTATTATCGTTTTACATTCATGAGAATTGAAAATATCTACTGACTACGGACTGAAATCATAACGGACATCTATTCAATTAGCAATATTACACTCACAATCAGACAAACTGTTCTTACTGTCGGAGTCAGTCATTTATTCAGTTCTTTAGGCGATCAAATATTGTTCTCGAATCCTGTTACTCCATCTTCAATTTGAGTTCCATCAAATTATACATAGGTTATTAAAAACATAACTGAAATGTATGAGCTCGCTTTACTCTTAAGCTACTTACGAATTTATGAAACTTAACACGCTGGGTTAATCTGCATGTAAATAAAGCTCATTTAATTCGTAATCTAAGTAAAATTAATTCAATATATCAATTAAATATCGCTCATATTATGAAGCAGTTTTTAGACAAATTGGTAAAGTTTTACAAATTGGAACAGACTATATATTCTGATGAGATGATTGGTTAACCAGAAATAGGATAAGGCATCTTGAAAAGAAATGTATAACTCGGCTACCTCTCTACAGATGTATTATAATAACCTAGGTATTCTGCCATCCATTGATAACTAAGTAACATGAGACTAATTCAATACTATTGAGACTATTTCAAACTTATTTATATGACATACTATTGAGAGAAAATAAAATGTTTTGTTTGTGCATTTACAGACGGAATTCATTACTAACTGGACGATCTACTACAATAAGAATTGTGCTGGGACATTGGTGTTATTTGACAACTAAATTTGTAGCTATTATTTGTAAACACGTATCAGCTGCGTTGATGAGTATGTTTCTCTCATATGAGCCGTACTATTGTTTGGTACGATATTATTTGACAATCAGTTTATGTTATTAGAACAAATTATATAATTTTGATAATGCTCCACCCTGTGGTACCTGGTTGACGGTCGGTCAATTACTCCCGTTGAGCATTGTTTTAGTGCTTGTATGACGGAACCTTGCTACTTTCTAACACATTAATCAATCAAGCTGCTTTATATGTTACTGTGAATACTGCGAGTACCTTGCACACACTGTCCTCTTAGTAGTTTAAGTATCAGATGTTAATGGAGCCAAATTTCTTGATATTACCGGACAACACCCGAATATTGCACTTTACCTTCCTTCTTTAATTCAAGCCTCGGTTCAAAATTAAATAATCTCTGTCATACTATCCGCCACAAATTAGCATTCTAAAAAAATAGTATCAAATATTCAAACATACATCAATGAATTTTAGATTGCTATTATTAAAGTAATAATTCTTGTATTATCAGTTTCTACCCTGCGTTTTTATAATTTTCTCTCGTCATTGATAAATGAATTTACAGAACACCTATAAATATGTAGGTGCAATGCGTAGTACATATTATATTTTATTTAGTTCATTTCTGGATTTCAATGATCATACACATCAATTTAATAATGATATAAATTGACACTGTGAGATGAAACTAGGTATTCATCTCTAAATGGTATCGAAAATATAATAATAATAATATTGTCTATGAAAAATATGTCTTTCTTAGCACCACTAACCTACCGTCCGTATGTCCATCAACGTATTATAACATTCCATGTTTTGGTGACTAATCGGTAATATTGCTATGCATATTTTTAAACAGGCTTCGAAATGGCACTTGGAAGGTTAAACATTCTGGTTAAAATTAAGTAATTATTCTTCTATTTAAAGTATAATTAGAAGTTTTTTTAAAAAAACTTTTCAATTCCTTTCATTTATTTACCATGAGCAAATACACGTGTTACACGGGTCAACCATTACCTACAAATATTACTACTCCAACACGCACCTTTTACTAAGTACCTAATTTAATTATTAGTATGATTTCATGCATACAGAAGAATAGACACATTGACCATTCAGTTCACATAATGTACTATGATAGGTATTTACAGCTATTTATAACACACTATTTCACTACGCTGAGCGAGGAATAAGGAAATCTCTATATCATAAGAAAATGTGAGTTGTGCAACCTAGAATACAAGCATCTTGATGACTAGATTGTACATTATACCTTGTGATAAATTTTGGAATACTTCGTTATACAAATTAAGTATTATTATTACAACTATGGATTGAGCCACTTGTATATCTCCTAAAAACCCAAACTCATTTCGTAATAACTGTTAAGCTTTTAAACTTTTGCTACCATTACTTAATTCTTTTGACTTTGAGTCATTTTGTTTATTACCTTCTGTAGTTTTCGATGATGATCCAGAAGAAGCCAAGGTAGTAGAAGTTGCAGCAGCAGTAGCCGTGACATTTGACACTCCGCTCGTTGTAACTGAACTTGATGTAACAGTACTTTTTACTGATGAAGGTTTTTCATTTTTTTCGTTGCTTGTTGAGCTCTTGGGTGCGAAGTCTGTCAATTTTCCTGCTGTATTTTGAGGGATAGTTTTACTTGCTACAGACTTTGCTGTCGTTATTGTATTCTGTGATTTAGCTGAATCCACTTTTTGCGAAGTGGTTGCAGGAGTTACCTCTGATGAAATTTTTGATGGTTTTGTAGTAGTTATTGAATTCGTAGGTTTGGATTGGATGTTTGATACTTGTGATTTAGCATTGGAGCTTGCATTTGTCACCTCTGGCTTGATATTTCCAGATGTAGCTGCACCAGACGATTTTTCAGTATTTAAAGCCTTTGAAACTGAAGCAGTGGTAGCACTCGGTTTTACTAAAGAAGCGTTAGAAATGTTAGGTTTGGCTGTTAAAATTGAATTCGATGTGGCTTTGTTTTCGATCGTCGACGTGGTATGAGGCCCTGAAGTAACTTTAACCGTTGATGTCGTAACTATAGGACTATGTCCCTTGTTTGCTCCTGAAGATGTCGTTGACGTCTTGTTACTCGGAGCATTAGTTGCAGGTGTGGTTTTCACAACTGATTTATTTTCTATTGTTTTTGTAGTTGTCGGGACAGTAACTTTACTAGATGCTACAGTCATCGATGCAGGCACTGATGTTTTATTAGCAACTGGAACTGTGGTGTTGGATACTGTCTTTTTTACAGGAGGGGTTGTGGTGACAGGGATAGTCATATTTTTACTGATTGTAGATGCAGTTGCGTTCGACGCACTCGTGGTCGATTCCATTGTTTTACTCGTAGTCAACGAAACGGTAGACGTTTTGGAAGCAGATGAAGGAGTAGTTACTGTAGCGGGTGATTTACCTTCCGATAAAGTTTTTGTCGTTGGAATAGGTGACTTTACGACAGATGAAGTAGTGGCTGTAGGAATTGATGATTTATTGGAACTAAAATTTTTATATACATTAGTGGATAAAGTAGGTGCTGCATTAGAGGTAGTGTTGGTATTCAATGCTACATTGGTAACTGGAATATTATTGGCACTAGGTTTTGGCAATTTAGTTTTGTCACTAGTTTCAATGTTAAAGGGTTTTTGGCTATCTGCTGATTTATTATTTTGACTGTCAACTGATTTGTTCGTAGTTTTCAAATCGTTAGTTGATTTTATATTTGATATCGTATCTTCCTTGTCAACAATACTTTGGCGTTGTAATTGCCTGCTACTTATAGAAGTATTTAAAGGTTCTTTAATTTTATCCTTACTCGATTTAATGTCGTCACGCTCTTTGTTTGTCTTTGAATCTATGCTGTCTAGCTTAGCAGTCTTAATCAATTCAATTTTAGGTTCAGGTTCTTTAGTTTTATCGAATGTTCCACTGTCTTTCATAGAATTATTAGTTGTTACAGGTTTTGTCGTAATAATTGAACTTAATGTAACTTTGGCATCGCTACCAGCTTGCGTTGTAGGTGGTTTTATATATTTCTCTGATTTATTATCTTTATTAAAACTTTTATTTCCCGCCATAGTAACTGGTATTCCAGTTGGAGATATTTTAGGTTGTGTTGGTTTTATTTCTGTGCTAGAGGGTAATGCTTTTGAGGTCTTATCTAATTCAGTACTTGTTATATTAGAGATTTTGTTATCAATTATTGCCTTGTTTTGTGTTGTTGGTGCATTATTGACAGCCTTGTAGGTTGGGTCTATTATACTTTTGCTACTATGAGGGATCGCATATACTGTACTAATATTGGAGCTTACTTGACCAGAACTTTCAGATGCATTGCTCCCACTTTTTAATACACTCACTTCAATCGTTGACAGAATGGGTACTGGAGTTACTTGAACCGGTTCCATGTGTTTTGTTTTGCCATCAGTATGGATTTTCGCTGTTGTAAATATTAGTGGACTTGGATTATAGCCAACTTGTTTACAGCCATCAATCTCGACTAAAATTTGACTTTTTGGTGCAACAAACCCTTTCAAACCATCAGGAGAACCAAACACATTGGTATTCATGTGATTATGTAAAGGAGCATTAGAATTTGTAATTTTAGGTATATTATTTTCTTTCGCATTAGGTGATATTCTGTCGGTGATATTAGAAGCATTCGATATTCCTGACTTTTGCAATTTATCGTCTGTTATTAGTTTGTCTTTATCTGTTCCTTTTTCACTCAAATCGTCAGTCTTAGTTTTTGACAAAAGATTAAATTTGGCACTTGATCTAGTTGTTTCAGGCTTTTCTTTATCTTTCTGTAAAAGTGGCTCTATGACAGCATCATCAGATTCGTGACTGAAATTTTGAACTTTCCGTTTAATAGAATTTCTTTTAGTTTTTGCAATTGCTCCGGGCTTTTTAATTTCGTTTTCTATTCCACTCGTAATAGAAGTGGAATCTCCACCATCTTGTGATGTCTACAGAAAAACCAATAGAAAAATTAATTTACTTGGTAATTCGTCATTTTTGGATGACAGTATTTACAAAATATAAAGTTAGTATATTTACCTTCCGCATAGCAACAAGCGGATGAGTATGCGGGGGTCAAGCGCCTCGTTCACGAAGCACGGGACGGCCGTGAAGCAGCAAAACTGGAGGCGACAACTCAGTCTCATGCCGCATCACTGCAGTCGCTGATGGACCCCACTCCTCCGTGGGACGAGAGAGCGCTCGTGCTTTCTGAAATTACGATAAAAATATAAATATGATTAACAAATATGTTATATACTGATCTAGATCCAATAAATTTGCTGATAATATACTATTTGTGTAACTAAATGTTAATAGTCACCTCCATAATGGTAAGATCATCGGGTCCGCTGCAGATTTGATCGATAGCCATCAAGACAACAACAATAACGGGCAGAACACCTAAAATCCAACCGACAGCATCTGCCCACATCGGGTAAACATAGTATCCGTACGAAGCTGGTTTGTACTCGATCCAGTTAAATACAAGGATGAACTGAGGATTAAAAAAAGCAATATACTTATTATCATATTCCGAAATTAATTAATAATTATGAACCGCTTAAAGTTCATCACAAACAAGATATACGTACCACTAAAGCTGCTGGTGTAATGATACGCCACATGGCACTCCAAAAGAACACCCACAGCTTGGTCTGCCGTCCAATCATTCGCTGAATATCTCCACAGAACTTTTCAGCCCCATAGATCCAAGCAATCAGAATGCACTCACCAATTGCTATGATCAAAACAGACCAATTTGCAGCGTATTTGTCCATTAATTGCAACCAGTACATACCACTCTGAAAGATTATAATAATAATAATTTAATATAGTCAACGATACGAAATATAATATACTTACATATTAGTGTAGCTGTAAAATCTTACATTGGTCGTGAAAATAAGTCCACCGAGATAGCCAAAAACTGCAACTGTCAATACGACCCAAACTTTCTTCTGTCGGAAATTGGGAAACCTATCCAATATTGCTGTTGTAACCGTTTCCATGAGTGCGAACTAAAATTAAAAATATTTGTTAATTCACACTATTACTAAAAATATATAGGTTATAAAATACATAAAAACTTTATTCAATATCAAATTTTACCTGGGAATCGAGGCCTAGTGTAAGGAGCATGACAAAGAACAGTATAGACCAAAGTGGTGATACGGGTAGACGTGTGACTACTTCGGGATACACGATGAAGGCCAGCCCAGCTCCCTGGTCTACTACTCGATCAACCTCGACATTCAACTCGTGAGCCAGAAATCCGATCACAGAGAATATGACCAGACCCGCGAAGAAAGATGTTAAAATATTTGATACTGCGACGATCAAGGAATCTCTGTAAAACAAATATAAACGTTAATTTAATATTTGCTAGACCAATCGAATCGTATGTATACTATTAATAAGGGTTAAAAAATAACTTACATATAGCAATTGTTGGAAAACTTATTGTAAGATGAAAGTGTGATAAGACCACCCCAAGCAGGACTCAGTGCAAAAAATATTTGTACAGCGGCGTCACCCCAAACCTGAAATTGACATTCAATTTATCATTCCATAGAAAAAGAAGTAAGTAAGGAATATTATTGAAATGATCTTGAAATACCTGAGCATTTAAAAGCTGGCTGAAGTCAGGTGTCAAATAAAAAAGGATTCCGGTCGATGCCCCAGGTAAAGTAACGCCGCGGAAAAACAAAATTACCAACACGACGTACGGGAAAAGTGCAGTGAAATACACAACCTGGAATTAAAATAATAATTACAAACTTGACAAAATGTTAAAATATTGTAGTTTTGTACTAAATTATTTAGATTATACATACAAAACCTAAAACAAAGAAACTCACGACACTGTTTTTGTTTTTACACATATTCATTTGTTTGATAATAAGCAAGTGAAAATTTACATTAAACGGTACCTATGGAATGTTTTGAGAAACTTCTTTGGCAAGTAAATTCCCAAAACAGTTAATAGTTAACCCGATATGTTATTGTCATTAGATGACATTGGATGAACAAACATTACTTTAATAACGTCATGGTGTGATGTAGTTTTAGAATGAAAAACAAGACAATGCTGAAATCATTTGATAAGTCCATATACATATTATAACAATATCAATAGTGTGTTAAGTAGTTGTATTAAACAGATAATCTTATTAATATTTGTAAAGACAAGAACGACGGAGGACATCTCCTGAATGTAAAGGTACAGTTATTTCAAAATAACTTTTTGACTAGTAAATAATTTACAGCTTGACTTCGATTTTGATTGAGATATAGATTTTCAAGCAAAAACTCTGGTTTGTTGTCCAAATCGACCAAATTATAATTAGTTTTTTTTTTAATAATAGCACAGAGAATACAATTTTGTACACATGACGCTCGTCTCAACTATTTAACATGGACATTCTTATTTCAAATTCCACACTTTCGAGAAAAAAGAAGACGCCAAAATAGACTTTATGAAAAAAAAGATAGAATAACAGAAAGTGTTAATTAAGGCAGAATAACACGTGATACATAAGTATAAGCAAATAGCATAATTCTTTATTCTCACCTTTCCCGAAGACTGAACTCCCTTACACAAGCACAGAAACACGATGAGCCATGCTGCCAGTAAGCATACAGCCATGCCCCAGCGGATTTGGCCCGTCTCTTCAATGCCAGACGAGAGACCTAGCACTTGGTTGCTGCAAGCAAAATAAATTTTGTATAGACTGACAAAACTGTGGTAGAAGATTTTTAAAGGGTGACAAAATGTTCCAAGTATAGACAAATGTAGGATTAAGCATCCTTTTTTGAAAAACGTTACCCCCACGTAAATTTTCTCCTCTGTCGTGGGTCCGTCTGAACAAACACACACATTAATGCAATTAGAATTTGAACACAACATCCAGACACGAAACAACTATTATCGGTTCACAATAAGGGTTGTCCCGTGCGGGAATCAAATTCGTGACACGTTGCTCGGCCAGAAGCTGGTTGGCCGACCACGGCCACGTCAACTTTGCAGTCAATATCAGTACATTTGTATAAGTACATGCTACCTGCATATATAGGTACTATATGTGTAGATGAGACTAGTACCCGGTAGACTATTGATAAATCGGTCACAAAGATACCTGTCCAGAGATAAAAGAATAAAAAAGGGTATCTACTTACGTAAAATACTCCTCTGCCGGCGGTCGACGGAGTGCCACGTCAGCTAAAGCATTGATATTGTGTAACTGAGCGTACGTCTGATTGAAGCATTGTCTCAAATAATATGTCCCATTGACCGCTTCACATACGTCAGCTTCCTCATACGAATAGCAATCTAGAAAGATTAATTGAGTTAAGACAACCTTAAATCCACTGAAAACCACAAAAATCAATATACTTTCAAATAAATAATACTAACGTTCAGTGCTCCATTCGGCGTCGCAATTCTGCCAGGGTAGTTGGTAGAAAATGCTCATAAACGACACGGCCATGTAGTAAATCGTCCAAGCGATGATCAGATTGTAGTACAGCATGACGATACTGGAAACTATCACCATGCCATACCCAAGTCCTTGGAATAATGGACAGAATTTGTTGTACACGGCCACAGGGCCCAAAGCAGCGTACTGTCCGAATGATAGCTCCATAAACATTAGAGGTAAACCAGCGATGATAAGCATCACAGTGAACGGTATAAGAAACGCACCTGCAAATTAATAAGGTACATTATTGTTTGGCTGTTACGTAGATCTAAAGACTTAAATTGTCTTAGTAAGAAGACGGTTAAAAATAAATGAACGAGAATCTTTTTTTGTAAACGAATGTATATTGTTATTAGAAGGTACTAAACATGTCCACATAAATTTTATGAAAAGGTTATCATAACCGCACGTAAAGAGAACAAATATCTAGTCGCTGGAAAGAATCGGGTCTCGAGACCCTATATTATCCTCTAAGGCAGGATGTCTCGTAAATACCAAGGGGTCAACGCGTGCTTGTTAAGTGCGTTCATCCCACGCAACTATTCTCGGATTTGCACAGCGTCATTTCAAAACGCTTGTACTGTGATTTAAGTACACAGCCACTTTTATATTCCTTCGTCCGTATTTAATCGTATGGATTACCATTCTGCTTAAACTTATATTATGAAAGGTCACATTTAAGTCTAAAATTAAAGCTCTGAAATAGAAACTACAACAAAATACAGCAAATCTTCTACAGTAGGATATTTATTTTATAGCGTTTACCTCCTCCATTATTGTAGCATAGATAAGGGAATCGCCAGACATTGCCCAAGCCCACACTGTATCCCAGCAATGATAGTAAGAAATCAAATCGTCCAGTCCAGTTGCCACGCGCTGGTTCAGCGTCTTCTGCCGCTGGCTCGGGATTCAATTCGTCTTTACTCTGTGCAACATTAGAATTTTTTTTGTGTCATAGGTCGGCTAGTGAACAGACGGATTACCTGGTGGTAAGCAATCAGCGCCGCCTATGGACGCTCGTAATACCAAAGTGCGTTGCCGAATGCCGACCTCTTGTGGGTTATTAGGGATTTGAGGATTAAGGATTGGGGGAAGGATTAGGCCTCCCGAAACCTCACTCACTCGGCGAAACTAAACGTAAGTGTTGCCGGCGGTTTTCTGAGAGGCTGTGGTATCACTCCGTTCGAGTAGGCCCATTCGTGCCGATACATAGCTCTCTCATACTTTCTATCCTAATTTATGTCTACAAACCTTAGGATTAAAGTTATTTTATATTAATTTTAAAGTGTCATTGCTCTAAACAATTTTAATGTTTGCAAATGTTCGCTTACGCCTCGTCAAATAAAAGCAAAAAATATATGGTAAGTACATATAGTTTTAGGGTCTAAGGGTAGGTAATATTATTCAGTAGGGAACTGATTGGTATTCTGGTAGCGGAGGTTAAGTACTGATTACTAGGTAGCCGGGTGGAATAAAGATATTTTTTACAATGTATAAAATAAATTTCATTTTGCAACAATTTTAGTGATGTCCATCGGTAACTTCATATCATTACTAACGTACTAAGTGAATGCTGATGGAAGCAATTAGTTGGCCGTAATACAATAAGCTCATACAAGTAGGTGCTGACACAAATGTTAAGAAATGGAGTGGTTCATTCTTCGCCGGTCACCACATGCCCTAGTTTAGTCATCTAACTTATACGTCCGTTTATTCCCATGTAGGCAGAAGCTACCTGCGTCAATACTTCACTACTCTAGCTCCCCCTACTCCACATTCGTGAACCCTTCACGAAATGTAAGAATTTAATAGAAATAGGGACACCATTATAAATGTATATTAGATGTATGCACATACTACATAGAGATACATGAAAGAGCAATGCACTGGGCATTTCAGTACATAAATATAATACAGCTTTTTACTTCGTCCGTTAGATGGCAACATGAAACAAAGTATTCATAAAAATAAGTCTTTGAGTCACATACGAATCAGCTGGAGCTTAGCACAATTTGTCGACTCGCCTTAACATCGACATTGTTACGCGACATAAGTAGATGAGTGGTATAAGTAGGTACCCATCTCATCTACCATGTGACCTACATATCGAAAATACCTATAAACCTCTTTAAATTAAAAATGATGTGTGATTAACATAAACATTATACATTTTTCATTGATTATTAATGGAGATAGTTTAAGGAAAATCGAGCTAAGCGACAGTCGATACTCACATCAGTGATTTTCTTTTCCATGGCTGAAATATCCTTTGTCACTGCAGGAATCTGGGTCTTTGGCGTTTTAGATGATTTCGACATTTTAAATTAAAGCACAGCGGAAACTATTTGAACAGAAATCGGTGCCCAGGCATTATATCGGTAGTCACCACCGCGTCAATGGCACCAGGAAGACCGAGTATCGCACAGAACATCACACTCGCCACAACTAAACTACGAATACCACTGAATCACTTTACAAACAGAAAGCACACTAAAACGGAATGATTTAGAAGAAATTAATCAAAAAGCGAGCGAGTTAAGTGTACATTAAATCGAAAAATACAAAACGCAGGAACGCGCAGATGTCAAGTTTCGCATCGACCGAACTCTGAATGAACATCTAGGTCAATATCAAGCCTCCGCCTCCGCCGCCCCCGCACCCTTCTTTACCCCGTTGTGAAAATTTTCTTTACTACTACATCATAATATGGAAAATTTTCTTGATTATCGCTAAGGAACACAGTTAACACTCATTCGTTATGACATTAACAAGACCATGAGAAACAACAACAGCCGCTGTTTACTACATCTCATCATATTCAGATCAAGATCTTATTTTCTACCCCTTCACGAATACCTTTAACCTTCATTGAAATATAGTAACATTATGCACAAATTTGGTGCTTTTATGTAGTCTATCACCTCATTAAAATGAACAGAAAATAATAGATAATAGGTAGTTTAATTTAAAATCCTCGTTTACAACCCAATTGAAAGCCTAAACGATGAATTAATTGTCATTAATACTCGTATTAATATTTAGAGGAAATACAATTAATTGGTTTTCGTAGCATTCATTCCTTGACTGTGCAGGAAAACATATTATTTATGTTAATATTTTAATATTATATACCTACATATTCATTTTTTTTAAGGACAATTTAAATATCGTTTTTTGTAAAATTCGTCAATTGCTCAAATATGTAGCTACAACTAAATCGACTGTAAACTAAACATAATAATAAATCTCTGAGTAACTTCACCGCACGAAAAGCACATTAATAAATAAAACTCATAGTGATTGTACCTAAAAACATTGAACTACATTGCTTTAAAAAAGTTTGGTGCCTAAATAGTCCGCTAAAAGCTTTTCCCTCTGCTTAACGTAACCTAAAAGGTTGTTAACGCAGTAAGTACACCTGCGCCTAGCACCCTTCAGAATTACAGGCGGCAGGCGGGACGAATTCAGACTGCTGATATACCTACATAGATATTATAAGTAAATAGTTTGTATATCAAGCGGTACAATTGACGATGACGTACGTTTTGGATTTATCGTTATGAGGAAACTTGTAAGGAGGATTATAAATGTGGGTGGACTGGGATGACTTTGTACGTACGTTTTTGGGTAGTTATGTAATTATGTATGTATGCGATATTAGTGATCCTGATATCTTATTGATGAAAGTATGGAATATCGGGACGTATAATTAAGTGCAAAAGTTTTAATTATAGTGAAAGTAAAAGTAAGTAAAAATATTTACCTAACTAAATAAGCATCAACGTAATGTATCCAGCCTTCTGCCTACTTTTCCCCTTGATATTGAATCAGATTACTTTTTTGATTTTATTTCATTTTAAATTAGAGACCATTAAATCGAAATACAATAAAAATTAAGATTAACAAAATGATATATGCACAGTAAGTAGCATAGTATACCAATACTTTTCTACGCATACACACTTACTGGCCACTTCGCTCTCTGTAATCAAAGATAACAAGTAGCCGATATCACTTTCTAGCAGCCCCCAAACCTCAAACAGGTACCATAGCACGAGAAGGAAAGTGAGGACCCTCTCTGGGGTATCCCTGGGGTACAGGAAAAAATTTGATGATTTTCCCTCACCAAAAGCTACCACAAATTCATTTCTGTTGCCATTTTTCAGAAAGTCAAACAAACACAATGTCGCATTTATAATAACTAATACATTAAGTGCCAAATGATGTTTAAAAAACAATAGGTACTTACACTACCTCGCTTACTTGAAATCAGATTGCAATCGCCAGTGGTACTTCCAAAAGACACGTGAAAATAATACGCTAATTTAATGTAGATGCATAGGCAAATTAAATCTATATTATATCTGATTTCTTAGTGATGCTAAGTGTGGCAGTGCCATGCTCCGATACGAAAGCGCCGGCTCGACATGCATGAGTGATACCACAGCCTAACCGAAAACTAGCTAAAGCCAACGCTTGCATTGTGTTTCGTCGTGGGAGTGAAGTTACTGAAAGTCCAATCTTCTCCCCATCCCATCCCCAAATCCCCGATTCTCTTAGAGCCAAGTTTCTTGGCCTACATGCCTTGCCTAAAATCTATAGGCCCTTTTTTTGTGAGGGAAAATCATCGTATGACTTCTCCCGCCCAAGGAGGGAGTGGCAAGTCAGACTCTTACTGACTAAAAACCCCCCCGTTCCTTCTCCTGCTTTAGGCCAAGGCCGCGGTGCCTTATTGCGCTTGCAGCACCTTGTCACCATATAAACCGTGGACTCGACTGGCGACTTAGTCACACGGAAACAGTTTACAAACTCTTCAGGCTACACCTTAGTCAAAATCCGAATACATAAACAATAAAATCTCTGCTACGCGCTACGAATCACGCGACGAAATATTAGCTCGTAGCGCGTAGTCAGTAGCGCGTAGCAGCGTTTTTCCATTATTCATTTCCGAATGGTGCGAATAAGCGAACTTAATTAGCGAGTCGGCCCCACGAAAAGAGTTTAAAATCTCTAGTCTAAAATGCAAGATATGAGTATAAATAGGTGTAAAACAATGTGAAATCTTAGTACGACTGTTGCTCGTAGCGTAGCGTAGTAAATTGTAGCTGCGTTTTCCTGCTATTAAACTCACAGGCATGCAAAACATGGACTCATCGGACAGGTCATCCGCCCGGAAACTTATTAAATTATTGCAGAGAGCTTATTAAATTGGAAAGATTTCTACGCGTTACGAATTTCGAGATGAAATACTGCAACAGTAGACCATACCGCGTACTTGGTTGCATGTAAATGTGTTTTCCCGTGATCAAATTTTGTAGCAGTTCAAAGGACGAACTAAACTAACGACTCGACTAAATGGAGAGTTTAAGTATAAGGAATACTACAGTTATCGCTGTAAGTCTGTAGTATGAAGCAGAGTTTTCTGCATGTATCTAGAGTTAGAAACTAGACGAGATCAGGGATTACTTTTTGACAGTTCGCGCCATGTGGATTTGTCTCGGCAACATTTTATATGAATACTAGCGGTGGAAATCGGTAAAGGCATTGTTGAGTTCGATATTGAAAAGCAAAGTGGCATTGATTTTTATATATAGACTAGCGACCCCTTCCCGAAAACCCCACATATGAAATTTCAGCGAACTCGTTAGGGCCGTTTCTGAGATCACACGCTTTTTCAAGCAATCAGCGCCATCTGCCAGGCTGATTTGTGAATCTAAACCATCCAGGTTGCCAGTCCAATGCATACCCAAAAAATCATTTAAATCGGTCAAGCCGTTTAGGAGGAGTACAATGACATACCTACACACGTTGACACGTATAGCAGAATTAAATATAATTATAATTATAAAGATATTTTTGTAGGATTGCATTTCATTTCCTTAGATAAATGTGCAAGTATACCTAGGCATTTTAATTCCTGCTAATATTATAAATGTGAAAATTTGTAAGAATGTATGGATGTGTTTGTTATTGTTGCACGCAAAAACGGCTGGACCGATTTGAACCTAGCTGCTTTTTTCTACATACCACGCGAGCGAAGTCGTGGATGGAAGCTAGTAATCTATATATCCATGAGACGTCAGCTATATGTTCGTATTTAACTGTAACTGCCTAACCCTGAATTTCATTTGTTACTGCCTTACTTAACAACCTATACAATATTCTATCTGGTCGACAAACGGATGCAAAGCAACAGCCATGTGCACAAAGTAAAGGTAATTTCCGCAAACCATCAATTTCCTCTACTCAATAAGCTGTAAATACGGCCCTAGATAATAGATAGATAGAAACCACATACCTACCTATATTTGTAACGTTGTGAGTGGGCGTAGGTAATGAGTAAAGTAACGAGTACCTAATAAGATTTTGCGAAGCAGATTATTCTTTTTTTAAGTATCTTGTAGCTAGTTTACTACTAATAGCTTGGTCAAGGCAGCCCGACATAAAATCTACCTACTACTCTCCCACAGCTGTTGTTTCTACTGTAACTTAAGCATGAGTGAATGTTTTAAATACGAAATATTTTACTATTATGGCCAGCACTAGGAAAATTCCCCTATACTTATTAAACTTTTTGGAAAATTCTTTCTAGAAGTTCTTTCGGTTAGGTTAGGTAGGTCGTCAAACATCTCTTTTGTCAGTTTAAATGTTGGAAGAAAATAGAACAACTATTTTTATAACCCACAGAAATAATACACAATATAATAGGTAAATCATTTAATGATTTATAATATGTAACCCTTCAATATCCAATGAACAATATGTACAGGAATGTATCAACAACTTGTGGTCCCCATTTCAGAACTGAATAAAAAATCTTATACCTTAAAACAAACAACATATAAGTATATAAAAAATGAACAAAGAAAATAGTAAAAATATATCAAAAACTGTTTAAGTAGATCTTTTCTTAACATTATTTTTTAGCTTAACACCTAATAGTAGGAATGTTTCCTTAACCACAAATAAATAATTTAGTTTTATCAATCCATCTACAATAATTGATTATTTGATTTGATAGTTTAAATGAACGCTACATAATTATAACGTCACCATGTGCGATCTCGTACAATTTGTATTAGAGAAATAAATTTGAGTTGCTGGAAACATCCCTATTGTGCCTTTAAACCCCAAAAGACATTGTTAATAGATGAAATCAGTGATGACGTCATCTACTTCTTAGCAAGAAGGGCTTTGATGAGGGTCTCCAGTTTTCTAGTGTCTGCAGCGAACTTCCTAATGCCGTCTGATAGCTTATCAGTAGCCATCTGGTCTTCATTCAGATGCCAACGGAACTGCGCCTCGTTTAGAGAAATCTTTTCCATGTCACACTGAGCAGCTAATTTAGGATCCAGCACCTGAAATTACGTGTATATCAAATTATAAATTGATAATTATAAACTATTAGCGACCTGACCCAAAATAACTAAGTATTTATAAAAAACACTTGTTTTAACCAAAATATTCCTTATAGTAATGATGCTCCAAAAAATGATTATCCAATTTGGGAGCACCCACATATATTTTAGTGTACCATTTTTATTTTTATGTCGATTTTTAATCATGCATCAAAATCAAAAATTTAATAAGTATCAAGACAAATCAATTCTCGGTTCAGGAAAAGTATAGCTGAGTTAGACAACATTTTCAGTAAACTGCTCAGACTCAGAAAATACGACTAAGTAGCTATAAATAACAAGAGTAAAGTGCAAGTTAAAACTACATGTGCACCCATTACACAAAAAGTAAATAAAAATCACGTCACATACAAAGAAAATAAGATAAATACCCATAAAAGTCGTAAAGGTTGGTAACGCAATCTAATATATAACCTTGAGTAGATTACAAATTGCAATATTGCGTGAACCATAAATAAATACGAAACTAATTACCGTGATTGATCATAGATAGCCGTTTTATCAGCAATATAAATTATCATGAGTACTTTTAATGTCTTTAAGAGTTATTTTATTTCTATATCCAGCAAAATACTACTTATCAACTGTTTGAAATAATCAAATAGTAGTTTGGAAAAATATACCTATTTATATTAGAGAAAACAACAGAGAATTTTGGATGACAATATGTTTTGCCGACCACATTTTCCTACCAATAATACTCGTCGCACATGCAACAAATAAGTCAGTTCTCGAACAATGAGATATTAAAGATAAATCAAAGCAAAAAAAAGAGTTATATTTGTGTGCACTTACTCTCTTCAAAGGTTGTTCACTGGAAGCCAACTCTTGCAGGAGTTTCGGGCTTATAGTAAGGAGGTCGCAACCAGCCAGCTCACGAATCTCGCCAGTGTTACGGAAAGAGGCGCCCATCACTTGGGTCTTGTAACCAAACTTTTTGTAGTAGTTGTAGACGCGAGTGACAGACAACACGCCTGGGTCGTCCTTGCCTTCATATGTCTTCTTTGTATGCTCAACATACCTGCAAAATTACAGATATTTATTCAATCATTGACTGATTAGGTACTAAAATAAAAATTGTTGGGTCAAGTTAAATAATTTAATAGCTTCCCCTGTAGTGCACAATGTTCACAAATTATATACTACCACATTTCTAAAGAATCCAAACATCTACTATAAAAACCCTGTTCACAATTTATTGAGTTGGTATATTTTAATGTGTCTTTTATAACAGTAGTTAACAGGTTACAAACATGAAGTAAAAGTGAGTATATAAAAATGCATAACAGCCACTCACCAGTCCAAGATTCGTCCAACAAATGGTGAAATGAGTGTTACATTGGCTTCAGCACAAGCAATAGCTTGGTACAAGGAGAACAGTAATGTCAGGTTACAGTGGATTCCATGTTTCTTTTCCAATTCCCTGTAAAATAACAAAATATGTTAGAAACTGTGGTAAACTTAACAAAAAGAGTGTAACTATGATTTTGTTTCAGTATTTCAAGGACATGCTGACATCATCTAGCTTCATTGTAAAATAGTGCTATGTCTTAGCCAATTAGCAGAAATGAATTGCATTTTGTTTTTTCTGCAAATATTATATAACTGTATGTAATATTATGTACATATACTCTAAGTGCAGCTTATAATGTATGTCATGGGGACTGCTTTAAGGTCAATAATTTTTATTGAGTTAGAAAGTTGTACTTATTACAACCTGCATTTCAAACAAAACTAGTTCTTATGATCAAGTCTTAAGATTTCAATTCATCTTTTTTTTTTTTTTAATGTAATAAGTCGGCAAACGAGCAGACGGATTACCTGATGGTAAGCAATCAACGCCGCCCATGGACACCCGCAACGGAGGAGTTACGAGTGCGTTGCCGACCTTTTAGGGATTAGGGATTTGGAGATTTAGGGACTAGGAAGGGTCCGGGAAGGGGAAGGATTGGGCCTCCGGTAACCTCACTCACATGGCGAAACACAACGTTGTGGTTGTTTCACGCCGGTTTTCTGTGAGGCCGTGGTATCACTCCGGTCGAGCCGACCCATTCGTGCCGAAGCATGGCTCTCCCACACTTAAATCTACCACCCATTAAAGACATCTGTTGGGTTTTGTCATTATAGGAGTTTGCCATAATTTTAGTTAATATTACTAGTCACCTTGCAGCCTGAATGCCTTCCCAAGTAGAAGCCAACTTGATGAGAATCCTCTCCTTCTTGATGCCATATTCAGCAAACATGTTGATCAGTTTGATAGCCTTTGCAATACTTGCATCCTTATCAAATGACAATCTGAAATTCAAGGCATCAGTATGTAAATAAACTAGTTACTATGCTAATGTTTTAAGTATATATGTGTACAGCATTTAGCTATTTATATATAATTTACACACACACACACACAGTATTAAAGTTATTTTACTAACAAGCCTATCAAGATTAGATATAAAACACATAATATTATAATAGGTAGTATGTGGTAATACAGATCTCTGATAGTGATCATAGTAGTTCTATAGTTTAAAAACTGAATATCATGTTCACCTTGCATCAACTTCTACGGAGACTCTGCCAGGAATGATTTTGAGAATTTCACAGCCAAACAACACACTCAGCATGTCGAGGGTTTCAGAAACCTGTTCCTCCATGGTACTGCAACCATACAATAAATTATTCAATCAGTACAATATGATGACAATTTTAATTTAAAGACTTTTTTTATCACTATAAAGACCTTGAATAAAAAATATGTGAAACTTACCTGCCAACCTCCTTGGCGTATTTGATGGCTTTGTCAAGTATGTGTTGGTACTGCTCCATGGCAGCCGCAGATAAGATCAAGCTTGGATTAGTTGTAGCATCTGTTGGCTTGTACTCCTTCATGGCTGCAAAATATATGAATAATAGTCTTGTGTGGACATAATAACTTTAATTTGTTTTAACTGTTGCAATTTATTTCAAAATTAATATATTTTGAAATAAAATAAATATCTTCAAAATTCAAATATTTTACCTTATTTTGATGTAATTTTGTGAAATTACGTTACTTCATGGTAACTCTAATTAGCATGACCTTCAGATGTTTTTAAATACAATTCTATTAGTCTTATAAGGATTTATATAATTTTATTACACTATATCTTACATAGTTTGATCCAAATAGTTTGAAAATGATACAAATAATTAATAAACCTCTTGTATTATCAGTTCTTTGGCTATTTTATAGTTACAGAATCGTGCAAGTTCAATGACTTTCATCCAAGATCTAATTAAAAGTACTGCGAAAGAGGCACCATTTAACACGAAGTTAAAAATATTATAAAATATATTTATTTTTTAAACATTTTACTATTTCTAACCTTCAAAATCGCCGGTATCGGCCACCACCGTGCAGTATTGTTTTAACTGTTCCAGGACACTCATTTTTGTACGTTTCGCTTGGGGTTCGCCGCTCATACTGGTTACTCGACTTCGGTTTAACCTGAAAGTATTGTCACAATCACTTAGTGATTTAGAGCATGAATACAATTCGCTCAATAGGTACGAATGAAAACGTCATGCAATAGCGAAGTGCGAACGGCTGAAGGTGACCTCCTCGGCGTTAAGTTATAAAAAGTTACTTCAAGTCGAGTAGTCAAGTCACGCTTTACGAATGATAACCTATGACTTATTGGTTTAAATAAAAAAAAAATATTGTATGTTTGTTCACCATCAGTGTAATATATGTACCTTATGAGGAAATAAAATCTTATCGAAATATTAACTACTGTAAATAAAACTGAGTTGTTTGGTTCAAAAGAATGCTTAAATTATTACGAATCAAACACATTCACATCGAACACTTCTTTCTATAGACTTTTAAATCTTTGCCTCGATGTCAAATGCCACACAACGACAGCTGTTGTCAATGTCAAAAATTAAAGAGGTTTATAATAAGCGTCCCACTAATAAGCCATAGGTATACTCAAATTCTGTTTTTGCAAATTAGTTATTAGTGTTGTCTTTGTTTTGTTGTCTGGTGAGGGTTATTTATAAGGTAGGTTTAAGATTTCTTTTTCCTGTGATACTCATTTCGTGAGAAATGAGTGCCGAGGAACCCCCTGATGGGGGTGGAGGAACTCCTCCGGATATACAAATGAATAGTCCTTTAGCTTCTGGTGTAAGCCAGCAGACTAAATCCTCCTTAAAACGACCTGCTGATTCGGAGTCGAATATTGAGTTTAAGAAAAACAGACCTCCGTCTGACTCAATTCAATCTGTTTTTACTAAGCCCGGCTTTGAAACAAACTCCAAGCTCTCCTACAATGAGTGTGACAGAGCACCCTTTACTGTTTTTGTGTCGAAAATAGAACCTGATCCTGCTGCTGGCTCAACGCTAAAAGTCTTAAAGTTCGCGCAATTTCTCCACAAAAACAACATCAAGGGAATCACAGAAGGAGGAATCAAATCTTTAGGCCGTAATAAGCTCTCTATTGAGTTTAAATCTGCCATTGATGCCAACTCCTTTGCAGATAATGATATCCTTTCCGCCAACAATTTCACAGCTAAGATTCCTCGCTTTCAAGTAACCCGTATGGGTATAGTGAGGAATATTCCTACTGACTGGACCTTGGAGGACTTAGTTTCGGGAATAGAAACTCCTCAAAATTGTGGGGAAGTTATCAAAGCTAGACGCCTCAATTTTAAAAATAAAAAGGAAGACTCAATTTATTGGACGCCTTCTTCCACCGTAGTTTTGACTTTCTCTGGGCAAACACTTCCAGAGAAGGTCTATTGCTACAATGCCTCTCTCCCTGTTTCAATTTACCATCTGCCTACAATTCAGTGCCGCAACTGCCTACGCTTCGGTCATATCCGCACTCAATGCCGGTCGAAACCCCGCTGTTTCAAATGTGCCCAGCCACACCCTGGTGATACATGCAATGTCCCCGACTCACAAGCTACGTGTATTCTATGTGAAGGTGGTAACCACAAGGCTACAGATGATCTCTGTCCCGAGCACTCCAGACAGAAATCCATTAAAATGGTTATGTCTGAAGAGAACTTAAGCTATAGTGAGGCATCTACTAGATTTCCCCGTTCTAAACGGTCCTACTCCGACGCTGCTGCGAACATTCGACAAACCCAAATGTCCCAGGCTCCTTCTCTTAATTTCTCCCAACTATTTACAGCTCCTCCCCCAACTTCTTCCTCTCCATTTACTTCTCCCTCCAAAACATCCTATACCAAGACCATATTCCGTTCCCCTAGATCTAGACCCGCACTGGGCAAGTCTTACGATGTCCAAGCTCATAGGACGATTGTTTCTTCCCCCAACTCCTCCCAGCCCAACGGCTGTGCTCTTAAAGATCCCACGTTTTCGGATTCCACTCCTCTTCCTACCCCTAATGACAATCTAATTGAGTTACTATTTTGCTCCCTCATTAATATTCTCTCTAAATTTAGTGACGCTCTACCGAACAATGTCTTAGTCCTTATTGAACAATTGCTCCAAACCTGGTCCCGAAAGAATGGCCAAGATCCTTCAATGGAACAGTAGAAGCATCCGCCAAAAAAAAACACGACCTACTGCATCTAATAAACCGCTACACTCCTGTCCTCTTTGCGGTGTCGGAGACATGGCTCAGACCTGGATCCCCCTTCAGAGTCCCTGGGTTCTCGTGTCTCCGAGACGATAGAGACGATGGGCGGGCGGGATGCGCCTTGCTGATCAGTAGGTCTATCTCCTTTTCCCAAATCCTCATTCCTCTTCACTCTCCCGGACTTCATGTTGTTGCCATCAGAGCCATGGATATTTCCTTTGTTTCTGCTTACATTCCTCACCCTAATGCCAACCTTCTATCTGAATTTAACTCCATCCTCTCTGCTATCCCTAACCCCTTGGTGGTGTTAGGTGATTTTAATTGCCGCCACACGCTTTGGGGTTCTCCCATCAATGACCCCTCATCTAGCTTTTTATTAGATCTCCTAGATGACCTAAATCTCTGTGTCCTCAATGATGGTTCAGCAACACGTAGGGTTTCCCCTACTCAAAATGTTAGTGTCCCTGATCTTTCACTTGCGTCTCCTTCCCTAGTCTCTTCTCTTTCCTGGTCTGTCCTGCCATACTCATATGGCAGTGATCACTTTCCAATATTAATCTCCATACATAATTCCTACTCTCCTACCCCTCCCATCAATCCTCTTCAGAAATATCGCCTACTCCAAGCAGACTGGGATAAATTTTCTTCTCTGATAGATTCTGATCTTCAATCCTTTCCCCAGGTGAACTCCTCAAATTGCCTTGCCTTGTATGAGGATTTTGTCGCTTGTTTAATACGAGCGGCTGATTCTTCCATTCCCTTAAAGAACTCCGCCCGTAAATTTATCCCTTCCCCCCCATGGTGGGATGCAGAATGCTCTGACAGTGTTCGAAAACGAAAGGAGGCAGAAAAAAGATATGCGTCCTCTATAAACATGGCCAATTACCTAAATTTCAAGAAAACTTCTGCCCACACCCGCAGGTTATTGGCAAGGAAAAAGAAAGATGGATGGCACAACTTCTGCGAATCATTATCCCCTCGCTCTCCAGTTTCCCTAGTCTGGCAAAAAATCAAAGCTTTTCGCAGAGTCTGCGACGACCATTCACCAGATATCTCATCCAACGATCCTGGTTGCTGGTTAGAGGACTTCATAAACAAGTTGGCCCCCCCCTTTGTCCCTAGTTTAGAATGCTTTCCCTCTTTGGACTCTCCTTCCCTTCCCTCTGATAAATTTGATGATCCATTCTCTCTCTCTGAGTTGTCTTTTGCTTTGGAACATCTTCGGGACTCAGCCCCGGGCATAGACGGCATCCCGTACTCCTTCATCTGTAAATCCTCTCCTGTTTGCAAACAAATATTCCTTGCCCTTATCAACTCCTTCTTCCTCTCCGGCCTCATCCCGGAATCTTGGAAATCCCAAATAGTTATCCCGATCCTAAAACCTGGCAAAGATCCAAAAGATTCTTCTTCATACAGACCCATCGCTTTATCTTCTGTTCTAGCTAAGATCGCGGAGAACCTTATAAAGAACAGGTTGGAATGGTTTTTAGAGTCCAAGGGCATACTTTCCGCTTCCCAATTTGGGTTCCGAAGAGGAAGGGGTACCCTAGACAGTCTGAGCATCTTCACTTCTGATGTTCGAATTGCCTTCTCTCAAAACGAAAGCGTCCTGGGCGTTTTCCTTGATATAACGTCAGCTTACGATAATGTCCAACTTCCAATACTCAGGCAGAAACTGCATCAGCTGAGTGTCCCTGTGAGGCTGGTTAACATCACTTGCAGCTTGCTAATGTCTCGTTATATATCAATTCGACATCAAAATTTCATCTCTTCACCCCGCTTAGTCTGGAAAGGCCTACCCCAGGGTTCGGTCTTAAGCCCTCTCCTTTATAATGTTTATACCCACGACTTAGAATCCTCAATTAGCTGTTTCTGTAAAATCCTTCAATACGCAGATGACATTTCTCTTTATTTCAGTTCGTCCTCTCTTACAGAGGCTTCTTCCCGCTTGAATTCTGCTTTGTTCTATCTAAACCAATGGTTAAATGATCATGGCCTATCCCTATCTGTCCCCAAATGTAACGCTGTAGTATTTTCACGTAAACGTAACATCCCCCCTATTAATCTATATATTGAAGATGAAACCATTTTGATCTGTGACAAAGTTAAATTCCTTGGCATAATTCTGGACTCAAAATTATCTGGCCTCCATCATCTCGATTACATTAGTAAAAAATGCGAAAAGGGCGTGAATGTCTTACGTGCTCTCTCGGGGGTTCGCTGGGGCGCTCACCCTGCCACCCAAAAAATTTTATATAATGCCATAGTGCGAAGTCATTTCGACTATGGCAGCTTTCTTTTGGAGCCATGCAACAAAATCGCTATGTATAAATTGGACAAAATTCAAGCCAAATGCCTTCGAATCATAACAGGTGCCATGAAATGCTCTCCCTCAAATGCCCTACAGGTTGAATGCCTGGATCCTCCTCTTTCCTTACGCAGACAATTCCTCGCAGACAGATTTTTTTTCAAAGTCATCCAAATCAAATCCCACCCCCTTCTTCCCCTCTTACAAACTCTTTGTGAACTAGTCCAGTCTTCCCGCTACTGGTCCCACAAAGATCCCCCTCTTCTTGTTAATAGTTACCGATCAACCCAGGACTTGCCCATCTCTTTATGCCAGTCTAATTTCAACCCGCTTTTTGAAGTTAGTTTCGAATCACTGATTTTTCAACCAAAGGTTATTTTTAGTTTTGGCATTTGCAAAAACGACCCCGGTGCCAATAACAAGTTAAATAAGATTTTAACGGAGGACTGGCCAGATTGGCTCAGTATGTTTACAGACGCGTCCAAAATTTCAGAAGACAGTATTGTGGGTGCTGCTGTTTGGATACCAAAATATAAAATTATTTTAAATTTTAAAGTTTCTTCTCAGTCCTCTATTTTTTCTGGGGAAGCAATCGCTTTATTAGAAGCGGTCAAATATGCGGAATCCCACAGTCTAAACAAAACTTTAATTCTTTCGGACTCTTTAAGTTGTTTGCAGGACCTTGTTAAATCCCCTTTTCGCTCTCGTTATAATTTCCCTCTAATCCTCCAGATCAAGCAGCTTTTATATAAATGCCACACGTCAGGTATACAAGTTGTTCTTGCTTGGATCCCTAGTCACTCAGGAATTGTGGGCAATGATAACGCTGACTCGCTTGCCAAGGCAGCAATTCACTGCGGTGTGGACTCTTACCTCAAAATTTGTTTTCCTCGGGATCTGTGTTGTACTGCCAAACCCGCTATGACGAAGAGTTGGGATTCCCTTTGGCAAAAGACACGAAAAGTCAAAGGCAAATTCTTCGGCACTATCCAACCGTCTATTCCCCATAAAACCTGGTTTGGCAAATACAAACACCTTGACAAATTAACTACCTCTGTCATCATTCGGTTAAGGCTAGGTTTTGTATGCTCACCTGTCTTTCTAGCTAAAATCAGAGTAAGAGATCATTCTATCTGTGAATGTGGTTTGGAAGAGGGTACTCTGGAACACTTATTTTTTTCATGTCCTCGCCTGATCACCCCTCTTTATGATCTCCTCCCTAATGATATCCCCCGTCCAATAAATATCCCATTCCTATTAACCCTAGTCCATTCCCCCATGGTAAAGATCCTATACAAATTTATCAATATAAATCACATCCGACTTTAACACTTGTCTTTGTACATAGTCTTTTACATTTTCCTTATTATAACATATTCCCTTTCCTTATTCTTCATTTAGTTTTAACCTAAACATCTACTTTCCACTCCCCTTCGTTTTGTGTCTTAACCCTTGTGTCGTTAAAACTAACAAATTGTTTTGTCCTTTTCCAGCACTACAAACATCACTGATTACCGGTCATTAGTTACCTACATTACTTTCGTTTTTTTTTTTTACACCGATCACAGTGTCATTTCCTACCTCGAAGTTGGCAAAATCTTCGAATGACGAAGGAGCCATAAACAAAAAGAAGAAGAAGAAGAAGAATAAGCGTCCCACTAATAAGCCATAGGTATACAATTGTACTATCAATTCTAATTAAAAGTGGTCAGCAACTAGTTTTGTAACTATTTACGAAAACACACTGTATTGAAAACTTAAACAAACATTTTTAGAGACAAACCCATATTGTCTACTACAACAGATTAGCATTTAATTAGTAAACAGATTCAGATAAATTCACACGTTTTGGACTACTAGATATCCTCCTCCTCTATTACTTTACTCTTTGCTACTATCCAAGAATTGAGAGATGACGAACCATACATGAAAAAAATTTAGGCGATTTCATAGAATAAGTGTAATAATCGACTAGCAGCTTTCAAAGTCGCAACACTATTGGACACACTTCTAGAAAATTCGGGTACGAGCACGAATGAAGGAACTATTGCGGCAATAAACCGGCGTTTATACCTACGTTAGATTGATCGATTGTAGAATTCAGCAACGTGTTTCTCTCTTCGTGTTATTCGGAAGATAAGCAAGATTTTACTGTTCTTGTAATAAATTGAGACAAATTATAGTTAACGATGGCTGCGATGTCCGTCATTGGTATTGATTTCGGTAACGAATCATGTTATATCGCTGTGGCTAAAGCAGGTGGTATTGAGACAATAGCCAACGATTACAGTCTCCGCGGTACTCCGTAAGTACAAAACATATTTATTCTTGATGCTTTTTACATATAATTAATGTGTGATAATATTTTCTGTCATCATGGTTCATCCATTGACAAATCATTAGAACCTCGCTAACATCTGATTTAATTATCTGCTTGTCATGTTCAAACCTTACAAGAAATGGTCATTTCTTTGGTCCTGTTTAGTTGTGAATCAAGTAATAGCAATAACCTATCAAAATATTGGCAAAATATAGTTATTACAGTAGTTTATAAATTTAATAGAACATTATTCATATTTTCAATGTCCTTGCTAAATTTTGATGTTTCATTGTAGGTTAGTCATACTTTTACTATAATTTTACTTATTTGAATTGAAAGTTTACTCAATAACTACTTAAATATGTAGAATAAATTAGACAGTGTGGATATATTGTACTATTGATCGTAATTTATTACAAATTTGACGAAAAGTATTGATTACAAGTTAATAAGACTTCTATCCTTACAACAATGTCCAATCCACCAATGAATACTATCAAATTATTACTTGAAAGCTTGCTTTAAATTTATCCTCATTGCTGTGTTGACCTAATTTTGAAACTACTTTAAGTCAATACTATTCAAATGAGAATTTAATAAGAATGTGAAACCTATGTTTAATTCCTTATTCCAATAACAGCCCATAAAAAATATTTATATTTCATATACCTTAAAAAGTTATCAACAGTCACTAGAACTATTAATTTTATTGATTCAAGAAAAAATAAATAGTAATTTCTAGAAAGCTTCTATAAAATGCTTTATTTTTTATATATATTAATATTCAATTAGGTTCTATGACAAGAGTCTATAAAGTATAAGTAGCTTAAAATATTCCAATATCATCCATGATAGATTTATAGTGCTTCATAAGCAATGAATTGCTTGTTTTATGAACATAATTGGATCAAATTATGTAATTGCTAAAGGGGTTCAAGCTCCTGATTTAAAATTATTGTTAAATTTTGTAGCAATGCTATATAACAATGCAATACTATGCTATAATTTGGGTGATAAGTAATTTTTAAATAAATTATAAGTTTTTTGTGGAATTACACTTTTACTTTTTCACATATAAACTACTAAATGGACCTGAATGAAATTAGGTATAGAGATAGATTATAGTCTGGGACAAGCCAGATACAATTTTACCCTATAAATTGAAATGTACGTATTGTCCACAATCGGCATGAGTAATTAAATAAATATGAATGAGAAATTTAAATCAGTATGTTCAAATGCAAAATACAACTCTCAAATATTCCAATTACAGATCATGTGTCGCTTTTTCACCGAAAAACCGAATATTAGGAGTGGCTGCAAAGAACCAAATGGTCACAAATATGAAAAATACTGTTTTTGGCTTCAAGAGGCTGTTAGGTAGAAAATTCTCGGATCCATATGTTCAAAAAGAGCTGAAGCATTTCCCCTTCAAGGTTGAACAAAGACCGGATGACGGAATCGGCATTAGAGTCAACTATCTGGGTGAAGACAATGTCTTTACTCCTGAACAGGTAAACAAATTTGTATTCTGTATTTGTAAATTGTGAATCTAATTTGTATAAGTTGACCATCCCTGACATAGGGCAATGTGTTTGTTCCTTATCAAATTGTTATCATATAACTAGTACTTTGCTGTACAGATCTAATACATTAATTTAGTCACATGTTACTACAATTTTATGTTTCTTTGTCTTTGCAGATAACAGCTATGCTCCTCACAAAACTTAAAGAAAGTGCAACCATAGCATTACAGACACCAATTAATGATTGTGTCATATCTGTACCAAGCTACTTCACAAACTCTGAAAGAAATGCTTTGTTGGATGCAGCCAACATTGCAGGTACTTACTGCTTAACTACTAAATAAATAGTTTAAACTAAATGTTTATCAGTGAGCAAAACTAAATGTTTATCAGTGAGCAATAAACCACACATTTTTTGTGGTCTCACAACTCTCACAGATAGTAACTAATTGAATTGTTTATGTAATTTCAGGTCTGAATGTATTACGTCTTATGAATGAGACCACCGCCACTGCTTTGGCTTATGGTATCTATAAACAGGATTTACCTGCACCAGAGGAAAAACCCAAGAATGTTGTATTTGTTGACTTTGGTCACAGTTCACTTCAGGTAACTTAATAGAAAGTTATAACAATTTTCTTGACAGTAACAAGTGGTATGACTAATAATAACACTAATAATTCTTGTGTTTGGTCCTTAGGTGTCTGCGTGTGCATTCAACAAGGGTAAGCTGCGTGTCCTGGCTACATCAACTGATGCTCAATGTGGTGGAAGGGACATTGATATGGCATTAGCTGACTACTTCTGTCAGGACTTCATTACTCGATTAAAGCTGGATGCTAGGAAAAACCAAAGGTAACATTTAATTTCCTTAAGAAAAAGAGATATTTTTCCAGAAATGTAAGAGTATATAAAAATTATGTTAATTAACAGGGCTTTCCTTCGCCTTCTACAAGAAGTTGAGAAACTGAAGAAGCAGATGTCTGCTAATAGCACTCGCCTTCCGATCAACATAGAGTGCTTCATGGAAGAGCGCGATGTTTCTAGTGAAATGCAACGCTCACAAATGGAACAAATCTGTGCTGAGACCTTCACACGCATTGAAAGAACTATGAGGGCTGTACTACACAATTCCAGTAAGCAAATTAATTTCATATTTTTTCATAACCCACCCAGGTTATTGAATAATACTTTTATTGTGATCATTTATTTAATTTGTGTGGTCTAATTCTCTATATACTGCTTTCAGAACTGAGACCTGAAGATATTCATTCTGTGGAAATTGTTGGAGGATCAACAAGAATCCCTGCTGTCAAAAATTTGATTGAACAAGTGTTCAACAAACATGCTTCAACCACATTGAATCAGGTATTGCCAATAATTAAAATTTTAATAAATGTCATCATTTAACTTTTATTTTGACTGCAAGGTATTGACCAAGTTGCCGAATTTTGCATAGCTAAGTTTACCTCTACTTGTAAGTACAATTTTAATAAATATGGGTATGGTTTATTCCAGGACGAAGCTGTCTCCCGTGGCTGTGCGCTGCAGTGTGCTATGCTGAGCCCAGCAGTGCGCGTGCGTGAATTTAGCGTCACTGACGTTCAGCCTTACGCCGTACGTCTGGCCTGGGATGCCACCAAGGGAGAGGATGGCGACATGGAGGTTGGTAACATATAGGATATTTGATATGTCTGACAAGAAACATTCATCGTGGGCATGATTTGAAATCCGATTTGTTTTTGTTTTTTATTTTGAGGAAGTGTCTCATGGTTTGGATCATGGTGGATGTAATAAAACGAAACTAAAATATCAATTGACTTACTAGTTAACAAACCAACAGTATCAAGGACATTAGTACAATATTTTAATGTCATCAAAATCAATTTGTTTAATGGTTACTGTTACTATGACAACTTTGTTTATTCGAAAATATGATTTTCTAATATATTAATAATCCCTGTACATTAAATAGTATTAGGATGTAAAATAAAACAGTTTGAATACATTTAATTTAAGTGTAATGTGGTTCAACTGAAAGTTTGGTTAGTAAAGTGTTTCAGTGAAATAAAACAAATTCTTTATGTATTTTCAGGTGTTCTCAGCTTTCCATGCCGCGCCATTCTCAAAGATGCTTACTTTCTATAGAAAAGAGCCATTCTCGGTCAGTGCCTACTATTCTGACCAGGTGCCTTACCCGGACACATTTATTGGTAAGTTTCTTATACCTTTTACATTTTGGTATCAGTAGTTAGAACCTTTAACAAACAGTAGTTTTATTTTATGCTTGTAGTGATTCCTTGTTTGTAACAATCTGCTTATTGGATATTTAGACTAGAATCTCCATCTTACAGGTCAGTGGCACATTAGAGATGTCCAACCAACAGCTGAAGGAGAGTCACAGAAAGTAAAACTTAAAGTTAGAGTGAACATCCACGGCATCATAACAGTCGCCTCCGCATCCCTTGTGGAAAAGAAACAAGACGCTGCTCAAAATGACAATATAGAGATGGAGAATTCGAATGAAAATTCTCAGGGACAAGATGCTGCTATGGATACTAATGGTGCCAGCCAAGATCAACAACAAAATGGCCCCGAAAACCAAGAGGTGAGAGACGACGAAATGAAGGGGGAGCCTCAACAAAAACAGTCGTGGACACAGAAAGTAGGACAGTGGTTCAGCGGGGTACGTGTCGGTAGCGCGTGTGACCAGTCCCGTGTTGTTTGTTGCCCGCCGTCTCTTCATAACGCTTGTTTTATATACTCTTATTATTCTAACATGTATTTTTTAATCATCTAAGTCCTCCATTTTGCAATCTTCCGGCAGCAGACATCACAAAGTATTGTTTCGTCCCCACCCTCATTTTGAGGTCCATTTGCACAAATTTCTTGTACGAGGCGAACAATGCCTCTGCAGTTTCTTCTTGTTTTTGTTCTTTTAAACTTTTTCTCTGTGTCCACGCATGTTTTTGTCAAGCTTGAAGTTGATTCTTTCGTTTTCCCATTTTTCGTTTTGCAGAAACCCAGGACTGTGAAGGACTTATGAAGTTTGAGTTATTTTTATTATTGTATTACTTAAATAAATGAATGTAATGAATTTTGAAATAAATGCAAATGGGTCACCTCACTGCTTGGAGCACTTCAGCCAAGTTCAGTCAGGAGCCAAGCAGTGGTGGTAGTGGGGAGTGCTTCTTAATTTATTTGATTTGAACTTGTGGCGCTTATTTTCAGGAAAATGCTGATGATAAAAAGGATAAATCCAAAGATAAGACCAAGAAGGTTCTTGTTAAAACCATTGAACTACCTATTGATGCTCAGACACACGGACTTGCCAAACATGATCTTAACTCATTTATTGAGCAAGAGGTAATTAATACGTACAATTTTAATCGTTTTATAAAATACTCAACAAAAATTTAAATGGAACTAATGTAACCAATTTATTATTTTTAGGGTAAAATGCAAGCTCAAGATAGACAAGAGAAGGAACGTGCTGATGCTCGCAATGCTTTGGAAGAATATGTTTATGAATTACGTGGCAAACTGTCTGAAGGGGAAGCTCTTCACGATTTCATCGCAGAAGATAATCGCAATCGCCTCGTCAACCAGTTGGACGCTCTCGAACAATGGCTGTACGACGAAGGTGAAGATCAACACAGACAGGTAAGATCAAGATCCCTAAAAGACTAATAACAACGGTTTTATCATCACCTACTGGATGGCATCCTCCATGGTGACAGAGGTTGCCATACTTTCCAGCTGGCAAGAGGACTTCAATAGATTACTTACAAAAAAATTTGGCGGATACTTGTTTCTTTCCCTTAGTGGCAGGTTGCAGGTTGTTCTTGTTCATGTTCCTATTAAAAAGAACTGGTTTTATTTTTTCTATTTGAAATAAAATGTCTACTAAATAGGTACTTGTCCCATTATAGGTATACAGCGATAAGCTGACAGAATTGAAGACAGAAGGCGAACCTATCAAGCAGCGACGTTTGGAGTACGAACTGCGTCCTGGAGCTTTAGATGATTTTTCAAGAGCAATCCAATTAGCCAACAAAGCTGTTGATTTGTACAAGTATGTATAATTTCAATTTATTCAAATGCATAGACGATTTTTATAAATAAAAAACATTTCTAAAACTGACTTTATATTTCAGAGCTGGCGACATTAAGTACGCTCATCTGGCTGATGCAGATATTCAGAAAGTAGCAGAAGCGTCAAAGAATGCGCTGAACTGGTTAGAGAGTGCTCGCCAGGCGCTTGCGCATACACCACGTCACCAGTCTCCACCGCACACCACGCATCAGATCCGCCAGGAACGACAGGTATTTGATCACACTAGTATTTAGTTATTAATCTATTATTTAATATTTGAATTAAATTACGTTTGGATGTTTACAAACTATTTTAAGCAGGATTGATTGACCATATGGTTTCAACAAATTATTATTTTTCAGACCTTTGAGAATACTGTGAACCCAATATTAAACAAACCAAAACCAAAAGAAAAGACCCCGCCGCCCGCCAACCCTACAGCTGGTGATGGACAGCCCGACTCTGCCGCGCCCAGTGACGCTCAGCAGACACAAGAACAAATGGATGTTGAATGAATGCGTACGACCACTCCTTAATACTACCTGCACATATAATACTGAATCATAATACTAAATAATTACACTCAATTTACATACTTGTTCACTCTACATAAGGACTATAGCAAGGATATTGTATGAAGCATAACTGTAATTTTATATTTATTCTAAACTACAGTTCTCATATGGTGTTATTGTTTAGTTTTATGGCGCAATCCGCGTTTTCTCTTGTGAAAGAACGCACGGACAAATTATAGTGAATATTTATTTTTATTTGAATGATGGAATGGCTGATAACAATTTAAAGTTATTTTCTACTATGCTACTATAATGCATTTTTTTTACGTATAGTTTTGTTCAATCGAATAACTTTAATACGCGCATTTGAATTTTAGGCGTATAACCCGAGTAATAAATAGTATTAATGTAATTTATATTTTGGTTACATTTTGTACACCTACTTAATGCATTTTTGTGCGATAACTACAATTTTATTTCATGTGATGTGATAAAATTGATTTTAGTGAATAATTATATAGCCAATAAATTAATACGAGGGAGCACATTGATTTATTAAGGTGAAATTAAAATATTTCCAATAAAGAATTTAAGCTTTTGATGGCACTGGTTCTAACTTCACTGAAATAATACTAGAAATTATCTTATTTTAATTTCACCAATGTGCTAAGGCAATAGAATAATTTTAAGATTTTCGTGTTATTTGTTTAAATGGTATAATATAATGTTAGAAAACGATACTTACATTAATTAATACATACACAGATGTCCGAAGAATCTTAATGAACAGGAATGATTTTCTTTATAAAATCTGTAACTTGGTCTTTAAAACACTATTTGTTGAATGAATATATGTAAGAAATAAATTGTAAGCTGGCCTTATAACATTTAACTAAAATATCTATGTTAAATAAAAAGCAATGATCATAATTCCTGTCAGAAAGTGCGTAGATTTTCTCTTGCACCGAACTAAATCCTGGTCTCAAGTTAGTTTAAATGCTTTAATACTGAAATGATTGCTACATTAGTTTTGATTTCAAAATACACACTTTCATCACAATATGAGAGTTTATTTTTAGCATTGCAGGCATCATTTCTTTGAAAGTAAAACCTCGCATTCTTAGGCATTTTTATTAGAATGACATAAGTGTGTAGTAAAATTGCTACACTGCATTCCTGTTTCCAACTCTCTGTATTAGTCTTTATGAATATGTATGGGGGAAACGAGGATAATTCTCTAAAGAATTTTAATTTAAACCCTCATTTTTTACACTGGTAAACGTTTTCGATTATGTTGCGTGTATTAAGTATTGTTTCATAACCTCTTCGTCTTATAAAGACTATTCCATCGTCGCATGATTATTGAGGTATTGAGATACTTGTTACATTACTACTGTTACACTTTCCATGAAAAAAAGTTTAGGTTAATTCAAATTTTGAAAGTTTAATTTATTCAAACGTTTCTCTTTTTAATTTCTGTAATTTATTGGTCTCTACATAAAAACATCATTCCACACTTACCAACTGCAATAATATGGAATCGAAATTAATACTTAGGTTAGGCTAAATTAAGTCCTAAATCCATGTCATGAAAATCTCTGTAGTAATTTTATATTTTGGTGTAATTGATTTCCTCTTAGTTTTCATGAATGGGGCCTGCTTTTGTAACAAGTACTTGTCTGCCCCCTACTTTCCCAAATTGCTTGTGTAATGTAAAACGAATTCATCAATTATCTGTCACACTTCATGTCATCAGCTACATACTTATAGGTTATTGTGGCCTATGTTGTACATTTGCAAATAAAAATGGTTGAACCATTACTATGTTATTTGTGCATTAAAGCTTAGTAAATGGATAATTTAACAATTTAAGTGTTTATTTATTATATACAGGTGTAAAAAATATGCGCCTCTCAAGTCTTACCCCACCACTGATTTTTTTCCCAGTCAACAATACAATGTATTTACATCCAAGATGTAGAAGAAGGCACCGCGGCCTCTGCCTAGAGCAGAAGGAACGGGGATATTTAGCCTGTAAGAGCCTGACACTCCCTCTCGCCTGAACTCATTATTTATCATTTTATCCTCCCAAAAAATTGGTCGTTTTTTACACACCTACATAGCAAGTGCACCAATTCAATTATAAAGCAATCAAGGTAAATATGATATATGTAGGGTCTGATCACTTGAAACAAATTCTGACATACCAAATTCACTAGTAAAATCCGTAAAACTGGGTGAAAGATACCTACTAGGAAAATTCATCAATATCTGTTCACCCTATTTGTGTATCCATTCACCCCTTTTGTGTATCCATTCACCCCTTTTTGTGTATCCATTCACCCCTTTTTGTGTATCCATTCACCCCTTTTGTGTATCCATTCACCCCTTTTGTGTATCCATTCACCCCTTATGTGTATCCATTCACCCCTTATGTGTATCCATTCACCCCTTATGTGTATCCATTCACCCCTTTTGTGTATCCATTCACCCCTTATGTGTATCCATTCACCCCTTATGTGTATCCATTCACCCCTTTTGTGTATCCATTCACCCCTTATGTGTATCCATTCACCCCTTATGTGTATCCATTCACCCCTTATGTGTATCCATTCACCCCTTATGTGTATCCATTCACCCCTTTTGTGTATCCATTCACCCCTTATGTGTATCCATTCACCCCTTATGTGTATCCATTCACCCCTTATGTGTATCCATTCACCCCTTATGTGTATCCATTCACCCCTTATGTGTATCCATTCACCCCTTTTGTGTATCCATTCACCCCTTATGTGTATCCATTCACCCCTTATGTGTATCCATTCACCCCTTATGTGTATCCATTCACCCCTTATGTGTATCGATTCACACCGTTAATACTACCAAGGATAACTATGGATAAACCTATACCTACTTATTATACTCTGGAATATCGTGGGTAACTTAATTGAATAAACTTAATTATACTAACTCCGAGAACAAGCACAATAATATATATTTCCGGTAGGAAAACTCGCCAAGAGACCTTCCTTCGGTATCTACCGCACCAGTGTGAAAACAAGCATATTTCTCTTCACTCCTTAAGTATACGGCAAAACATTGGTGATTTATAGTAGTTGGTAGAACTGGACTCTATTTGGTATAATGCAGTGGTTGCAAGTGTCGTTCTGCACATAGGTTTTCATTTGTGAGAGGAAAATCATTAAATTACCTCCCGCCCAGGCGAGAGAAAGTGTCGGAATCTCACTAAATAAAAACCTCCGTTCTTTCTCCTGCTTTAGGCCGAGGCGGTGGTGAAACATTACACTAATAAAAACCTCCGTTCCTTCTCCTGCTTTAGGCCGAGGCGGTGGTGAAACATTACACTAATAAAAACCTCCGTTCCTTCTCCTGCTTTAGGCCGAGGCGGCGGTGAAACATTACACTAATAAAAACCTCCGTTCCTTCTCCTGCTTTAGGCCGAGGCGGTGGTGAAACATTACACTAATAAAAACCTCCGTTCCTTCTCCTGCTTTAGGCCGAGGCGGTGGTGAAACATTACACTAATAAAAACCTCCGTTCCTTCTCCTGCTTTAGGCCGAGGCGGCGGTGAAACATTACACTTACCTTACCCCGCAACCCCGGCTGAACATCAGCCCTGTAGAGCCCCGTCTGTGGCGCACGCGAGACGTACGCTCGGGTCTGGTTCTGCAGACCCGCGCGTACGTCTCACTGCCCTGAGGAAACATCGGTTCTCGTCCAATGTGATCAAATTAATACTAAAATAATTGAACATTTTAGATTTTTCTAAAACCGTTTTTAATTAGTATTTAGAATAAAATGAACCCATAATCTATCAATGGTAAAGAAACAGGATGCAACGTTCACATGGTAGTTCACTTTTACAAGATTGTCCCATAAAACTGTTCTGCCGTTTTGAAGAAGCGTTAGGAGTTGGTCTTCGTTTTACTTCTTAGAAAATGTTGCACTATACTAAGTCGGAGGGTTTGCAAATACAACTTCACATACACGCTGCTACTGCGCCAACGGTGCAGAACTTTCCGAAATTAATTAATTTATTCATTATGAAGTAATCAATGAAACTGTAAACCGTCAGTGTCTATAATATTTTATTCAGCGATAAAGCAGCAACGTCAATTTATAAAATAATTATTTCGGAAGGCATGCTTCAGGCAGGGTGGGGTCTACTTCATGCATGTAGTCTCTTAGGTTCTTCCTTTTCGATCTACGATAAGCTTCTTCTACGGATGCATATGTTATGAAACCAATTAAGAAACCTGTAAAACGGTGATTTTTTAAATTATGACTGAAACCGTGAAATTGGGCTCCCAAGTTGGAACGGACTGCGGCTCCTTTCCAACTTGAAGAGACCGAACGCCTTAGCCGGAAGCTGTGTTCTGGGATCGTATGATCCAAACCATGCCGAGGGCCCACTCCTGCGTTGAATAGGCGTCATGGCAACATGCGTGATCCATGGCTATCGCTCGATATCCGGGGAAGGGAAGTTTCCGAACACAATCGGGTCGCTTTGGGGCGAAACTCCTGTCGCGCTTGATTTAGGCGGCTTGAGCTCCAGCGCATCGCGATCATAAAGTGGAGTGGAAATAACGAAAGCCGCCCCTCCACTTCCACCTGATGCAGGTACCTACTTACTGGACACGAAAGCTTCAGAAGGTTCAGTTTCGAATCGTTCTATGATGTAGGCATGCTCGTAAGAAAAGGAGGTGGAAAGCGTGAAGAAATTATCTTCATCACATCTCAGCCAACGCAATTTGCGATCAAAGCTATATACTTAGTGCCACCCCAAACACGGGTCTGTAGGTGGCTAGTAATGGTAGCTGGCTGCTCGACCAGAACCAGACCTGACTAAATAAGATACAATTTAAAATAGTACATACATGGGAGCCACGTATACATGGTAGATAAGGTCCTTGGTACAAAGTTCGGAATTCCATATGCAAAAGCTGTAGCGAAAGGCTTTTGTTCATGTGGTGACAGTTTATAATAAATTATTCCTCTTATAACCGCGAGATCGCCAAAACGTCTACCCATTTCTTTAAAAATTAAAATAATATACCGAGAAACAACAAGAAGTACTTATCAAATTACAGCAAATTGGCAATCAATTTGAAAGTTGCGTTAAGTTTTAATTTTGTTAATGGCGAGTATTTTCATTAGGTAATTCCAATGACCATAAACTATTAATAACTAACTTTCATACGCCCGCGTGATATTGATAAAAGCCAATATGTTAATCCAGGTTGGATAAACATCCACATACCAAATTTCAACCAAAACGGTCCAGCCGTTTTTGTGCGAATGAATAACAAACATATTTATATACATTATGACAAACTTTCTCGTTTTTTATGTTAGTAGGATAATCCGAAGACTCCTACAGAAAGCCTATTAATTAATTACCTATTAGGACCATTATGGTAATAAGGTGAATAGAATTTAAGGGGTAAATAGATGTGGAAAGCTTCTTTTTTCGTTCACCCCAACTTATGATGGATAAAAGTACAGGGTAACAAGGTCCTTTGTTAATTTCAAAATTCTGTCATTCTGTCAAATTAAACTTCAAAATGTTCAAAATATTCAAATACCTATATACAAATATATATATTTACTTTACGAACTGGAGCTAAATCAATGTCTCAAATCATTATCAAGAATTTTCCAGGCTGCGGCTGAGGTGACTTCGTAAACGATATCAATACCAACATAAAACTGACTGATGTTTTACTACGCGCTAGCGTAATCTGCCGCCACTGCCTCGTAACTCGTCACTTGCACTTCGCCATTGTAAAAGCGATTTTCATGGCAGCTAGTTGTTCTTTCGCGGTTTAAATTTGTGTAATAAACATTTAGAATATAAAGTGCGATGTCGTCGGTTTGCTTAGCTGCTGGAGACATATTTGTGCCAATAAAAATTGATGAAAATGACCTGTATGCAGGTGTTTTAAAACTACTTAAAACAATAAGACCCAATTGGATTCAAGAAAAAATTAAATTAAAGGTATGTTAGTGATGTGTGTTAGTTGTAAAATTAAACCAAATATTGATAAAAGCAATTACTGTCATTTTGTGCATTTTCATTTCCAATTAGATACTATTTATTTACAATTTTTATCATATCAGTATTTTTTTTCAAATTGTAGACTTTAACAGATGGAATAACTAATAAATTAGTATCATGCCAATTTTTGAAATCAAGTGGTGAAAAAGCAATTTTACTTGTTCGCATCTATGGGAATAAAACTGATTTATTTATTGATCGCAGTGCTGAAATCAGGTAAATGTACAAATTTTTGTATGCAATAATATTATTTTAAGTATAGTGTGGAAACTACTAAACTACCCAGCTGGCTGATTGATTTTAATTATGACTCCTCTTCATTTTAGAAATATCAAAACTCTGAATGTTCTTGGACTGGCACCTCAAATTTATGGAATATTTGAAAATGGCCTGGCATACCAATATTACCCTGGCATTACTCTGGATACTGAATCAGTTACCAATGACAATATATGGCCCCTAGTTGCTACACAGATGGCCAAAATGCACAAAGTTCAACTAGGAAAAGAAGTATGTATATCTACTAGGATAGTTATTATAGTTAAAGCAAACTTTATCACTTCACATATCCTGAAAAAATAATAGGGCAAAAACAAATCATTGTGCATTATGCAAACCTGAGAATGCACTTACAAAAATGTTTGAATAGGGAATTTAGTAAATCAATGGTTACCCATCCAGGTTTTGGCTGTGGTGAACATTGCTTAACTGCATTGGATGGATCACCTGCCATCACCGCAAGCATGTTTTGCTAAGGTACGATCCTCATGTGTGTTTAGTATTTGTGGAAAAACTCTTAATGTTGCAATGTATGTATGTTTACACAATATGTTACAATAACTAATATGTTGTATTTGTTAAACATATAAAAAAATGGCAACCACTGAGACAGGATGTTATCTTCTATTCTGTAGATTATTATGAGTGAGTAGATTTTAAACATAGGTGAACATGAGGTTTTCAATCATCTTTCCTTAGAATTCTAAATATTTCAAGACACCTGACACTAGATCAATCCACTCCAATATTCAAATTACTTCAATTTTCTACTTTAAAACAATTAAAATTAAAAGTGTATTGGTACACACAGATAAAACATTAACTTGTATTAAAGATAAACATGTTGATAAAGTTGACCAATATCTTGTCCCCATTCAGTGTGGTTTAAAAATCTTCCGTTTTTTAAGTATGGAAGAATGCGCCGGCGCAGTCGGATTGACACCACGGCCTCGTAGAAAATCGGCGTGAAAAACTTGCATTGTATTTCTTAATTCTCAAATCCATTTTCTTAAATAGGTAACCTTTATGCCTTATTCCATAAAACAGACATCTTACGTATGTTGCTTATTTATTGCTTCTATCTTGCATTCTGAGTACTTATCAAGTGGTTCGTAACATTTACCGAGTGTCTTTACACATCACGTTAGCGCTCTTGACTACATAATATTGCAAGGCTAAGGGTAAGGTCACACTGACAAAACTCGTCGTGCGATTCTCGTTGCGCATTTATTTACTCAATTTATTTTTCTCAAATTAATGCGAAGTAATCAATAATGTAAATCGAAATTTCACAAATTATTTTATTACCTAATTGTTTAATCAGTTAAAATGCCGTCAACTGATTCGATTAGTTTAATAGTGAAGTAAAGTTAGTCGGATCGCCTTAGAATACTTAAAAATAATAATAACAATGTTTTCGTATAACGTTACTACCCCTATAATTTTTAACCTTACTCTTACATAATATTTTTACTCCATTATGTTTGTAGCGATAGCGTGGTTTGGAGAAAAATACCCCATGCCATATTCTTCCAGATTCCAGTTAATCTTTCTCAACAAACATCCATAAATGCTTGTAAACTTGCGTTTATAACAGTATCTTAGGATACCTACTTTAAAAAGGGTATTTGTTTATGGCTTGATGTTCGCACGCGCCTTGACTTAGTTGTATTTTCCGTTAATGATGATAATAAAATTACGATAAATTAACTAAGATAGTTACCGACTTCTATTCTGCCCGCACCATAGATAGGTTTAGTCTAAACAAGTCTAGTGCATATTGTTTCGTCATGTTTATATTAAACTACACGAGGAGTTGCAATTTATGTATTCATAGTAAGTATGTACTTATGTAGGTAGTAGATCTTCAATAAGTGGTGTCTACTCTTAAATTATTGTTGTTGTAACGCACCAAGCTAAATACCAGAGTTGCTGTATTTAATCCGATAGCATTTAGCTAGTGTGTCCGTATTTGACTGCAGGGATGGTCCGGTGGCGGGGCTACAAGCGCAACGTGTCGCGGTTTCGATGCCCGCTCGGAACAACTCTGTGTGATCCTTAAATTGTTGTTCCAGGCCTGGGTATCATGTGTATGAGATATTGTATGTTTGTAAACGACACAGGAAAAATCCTAGAGTAGGGCAATGTATTTGTTAAAAAAATCCAAACTAATAATATTATAAATGCGTAAATAACTCTGTTTGTCTGTATTCTCTTCACGCCTAAACTACTGAACCTATTTGTGTGAAATTTGGTACCTACAGACATAGTTTGGAACTCGTAGAAAGAGAGAAGACGTAAGATAGTTTTTAAACCAAAAACCTGCAGGAAGTCACTATTCCTCGCGAACAAAGTCGCAGTCTAAAGCTAGTATATAATAAAATCTTTTATAATTATAAATGATATAATGATACTTAGCGCCATACAAACGGTTTTAGGTAAAAACAACGAAGAATTATAATGTTGTCGTACCTACGTGGAAGACTATAAAATAAACTCTTATCTTCCCCATGTTCTTGATTATTTTCTTTTAAATACATTTATACAAGTAGATAGTAGTGTTATCTACTAGTTAAAAGTAAACTTTATTTCTCACATCAATTGCTTAGGTACTTTTGATTGTCTTATCTGCTAAGAGTATAATATTATGTTTTATAATTAGATTCAGACATGATTCAAACAATTTGAAACGGATTTAAAGCAGTGTAGCTTGTTAAATATTAATATATAGGTATATAATATCTGAAAAATCTTACACACCAATCGGGTTTCAAGGCCCCTACGTAAGTAGGTAGTAACGTTAAGTATAACGTGCAATAGTGTAAGATTTATTGTAAAACAGACGTGAAAACAAAAGAAACAGAATTGTTTTTAATACTAAGCTAAACGTTTTGGAACTATTCGTTTTTAAACGAAGGTCACATATTCAATAGCCTTCCTATACAAATAGTAGGTATAAAGGTGTAATCACAGCGTAACTTTATTTTTATACGTCATCCATCTTTAGCCAAAATATTCAGAAAAAAATCTCATCTAAATAGCTTTCTTAACTTAGGTTGTGAAGGTAGGTAGCGGTTTATGTACACTACGATACCTTAGTACAAAATACCACGACTAAACCAGACACTAAGTGTAGAATGAAAAAGTAAACAATGGAACGACAATCATAACCGTATATAAGTCTATGTACTATGTAGGTAGGTAAGTACGTATTGGCAATATTTGCGCCGATATTTAATGCTTCGGAAAATGAAAAAGCGTAGTGTTTTGTTACATTTTTCTACATCTCCATCTGGTTTCGCCATCCATCATTCGTATCAATATTAATGATTGCGTGAAAAAACTTTGAATGTACCAGAGCCAGGCAATAGGATGACGTAGATACCAATTTGTTAATGTATTTCAATGAATAATACATAGACTGAATATGGCACGTCGTTTAACAATAAACATTCATGATGCTGCAGCAATGCTGATAAAAACATACCTACTCTTGTTTTTAATACAGCTACACTGATAAGGGGTTGGTAAACCCATGTTTGAATTTGTATATTTTAATGACCTGTAACTTGTGATATTTGTAGCTACCCATCTATTGTCTGACGGTGTCAAAGTATTATAATTATTCAGTGAAGATTGTTTTACGCTGTTGCAGATACCGAAAGAGCCATTTGTATGGGATAAAATAGAACAGTTTCTGAATTTACTCCCTGATCCGTTTACATCGGAAGAAAAGCAGGCCAGGTAAGTTGCTTGAAAAAAATATTTATTTGTCTATTTCTATTTTTTATATGGGTTAGGATGGCTTACAAGCATACG